TAACCGCTTGCAGACCCCTCTTACTACTAGTAAGAACAATGAATTATGAACATTTTAATTTATCCATCAGTAAGTTATTATTGTGGACAATGACTACTGTCCAAACCCATGCGTTGTTATAGTATGATTTCCTTTTGGGGGTTTGCTATTGTTTATAACCTGCTGATAAGGTGTCATGAAGGGTATTTGCTAAAAGGTTGTAAATAGTTGTTTGCAAATAACCTTGTGTTATCAGTATGTGGAAACACAGTTATTGACGTGAAGAAGTCTAAACTTTCTCCTCATGCCAATACATTTGTGATAACATTTTGCCTTTCTTTACTGTTACTGGACTGTAACTGACATTTCATTTGAGAACAACTTTTTTTTTATTAAAGGGTTATTCTTCTGATAAAGTTAGTGCAATTAACAACAACAATGTTTGCTTATTATACTACATGTATCCTTTGGTACTTTTTTATGTGTGGTCACATGCTAATTCTATGCAAAGTTAAGGGACTTTTCCTTATTTCCAAATGTAGTTTCCATACAAATAATCATCCTAACTGTAAGGGATTTTTAGTTTTTCTTTTCCAAAAGCCACTAATCCAAACACTGTTTTCATGCACTTTCTTGGAAGTTAGTGGAACCATTCCAGGGTAGAATTTGGCCAATGCTCTGTGGACATTCTTTGCGCATAAGGAAGGTTAGGTACCTATGTTTTTACAGCATTATACAGCAAACACTTCAAAGATAATTCTGTTATTAATAATTAATTAATACATTGTGAGATGGAACTTGGCCTACTTTTTTTTTCCAAAAATTTTGTATAAACCCAGTAAATTCAACTCTGTCAAAAATGCCTCGTTATATTATTTTGACATAGGCATAGCAGTATAAATGCAAAATATATTTTTGATAGAATTTTATTGCAAAGATAAATCTATTTTTCATAATGGTTTCCTACTACAACAAGCTCATTTCTTGACTTTCACTGGCCCTGTTCACTCAATTAATCCAAGCTGCCTCCTTAATTTTATGTGCAGACATTACACACTATGAAAAGATTTTTGCTACCTTTTTGTTTTGAGCACATAGAACATGTAAGAACTGGTTTAAAGATAATTTTCAATGTGAATTTCCGCATCGAATCTTTGCATTGTCAGTGCCCTGGCAAAAGGCCGTTTTCCAAAAACTCTGCCATTTTTCGTTTACTTTCTCTTGGTGCTTTTTAAAAACACAACACAAGGGAATTACTAGGACACTACCATTTTCATAAAAAAAAAATTATTTACTGAATGGTTTGTTCATTTGTAATGTTGCCTCATATTGGTGTAATGGAATGGAAAAGAGTCATGAATGTATTTGCAGGCTACAGTTAAAGGCTTTCTCTGAACAGATGGATGGTTTGATATACTATACTACTTTGTTTCTCTTACTTTTTTTCTACAGCAGTGTTTAAGCTGTGGTCTGACATCACACTAAGTGTCCAAGTGTCCACAGAATAAAAAATCAGTCCACGGAAGGAACCCCAAAAATAAGTGTCCATAAAGAAAAAACCCTAGTATGTTAACAAAGTGAAATACAGAGAGCTTTCGAGGATCCCTCCCTGCCACTTGCAAGCACCTTCCCAGAGACAGAACAGCAGGGGACACAACTGAATCCTGCTTCTTCTTGGTGCTCAGGGGAAAAGCAAATGTAGCACATTCTCTAAGCACACACATTTTAATAAATGTCCTACTGCCTTTCTAAGGGGCTTTGTGAAGGAAAAGCTCCGGCATTTTTCAAGGATGATATAAAGCACCTTAAAGAGTCTGCTGAGATGTGGGGTAGACAAGTTAGTATGTTCCTCTTGGTCAGCTTTCTTTGACACTAGATAAGGACCCTTAGCTGCTGAATTATTGCTCTGTCCTTTGTTGTGAGATATCACCAAACAACTCACCAGTCAATAAGTTTCTTGTTAGTAAAAATAATGAAAACATCTGGAAGATTCATGAGCTGCTTGCTGGCAAAGCAAGAGGGGAAAAACATTCTTCTTGGTTTTGTATTTGCCAGCTGTTACTAGGAAAGGAGATCAGAAATGCTGGATAGAAATGAGTTCCAATGTGTGTTAAAGAAAAAGAACTTTACAGCTGATTAGAGTCAGTGCTTAATTTACTCTATAAGACTCTAGAAGAATTCAGAGAAGTGGAGATCTGTAATATATTTTTTGTAGTGATAATGAAGTAGTAGTCCCAAATGAAATTACTATATCTATATTCTGCTGATAATTTACAACCATTCAGAGAGCTGTCATTCTATTTAATGAGAGTATTAGAGTTTTAACATTCAGTTTGATCCTGTGTCAGAACAGAATTAATAGTTTCAAAATTTCTCCATTTAAACCTTTTAGGTTTAAATAAAAAAATAAAATTCTCTCTCTCCTTTTCTCATTCTGTTTTCCCCATGGAACAGACAAGATGTTTGACCTATATGACAAAAGCCTCTACAAAAAGTTGCCAAACACTTATGTCTTTACATTTTATTCAGAAAATTTCTAGGCAATCATAATCACATTTTGATTCACCCGAAAAAAAGAAACATATTAGGGAGACAAGAGGGGAAAGCCATGACTTTTATTTTTCAAAATACTAAAGCTAGCCATAGTTCAGATGAGTATGATACTTATATGTAATAGTTTTCAATATAAATACTTCGGTACTATAAGTTGCTTCAGCATGAACTTCTCAGAATACGTTTTTTTAATTGTGAAAGTCATAGTCTTTTTACCTTGCTGTTAAATACTCGCTAAGCATATTTGGCTTAATGGATAGTTTTTTTTCTTGTCTTAGGCTCTACCTCTAGTATATATGGTAATGAAGGACCACGCAAGGGACATCATGAATCCACTACTTTCCCTGGAGAGACTGCCACAACAAAAATAGATTCACAGCCAAGGTCGGCCCGTGTACCAGGTAGGTTTTTGAAGTCATGTTTTAAAAATATAAGTACAGAATTGCATTCATATGAACTAAAGTAAGAGATGAAAATGAGGTCAAGTACAATTGTTCAGGCTTTGTTATGAATCAAATAATATTCAGCACTTCACTAGTAGTCTAAAAAATGGAACGTATTATAACTCATATAATTTTCCAGCAATATTGAGAGGAGAGAAACCATGCATTTGGAGAACGGGATTAAGATTCAAATATTTTTATGAATTGATATGAAATCAGGCAAATCTCGTTAAAGATCTATTCACAGTATTGTATCCATGAGAATGTTCGGTAAAAATGATGGCTGAGAGAAGTGTTGCAGAATAGAGTTTGCAGAATAAAACAAAATAAAAAGAAGCCAACAGCATAATGCAGTTGCAAAAGAATGCAAATATATTCTGGGACATATTAGCTATAAAGTAATTTTTAAAACAGAGAAAGTAATTATCCCATTCTACTTAGACCTACCGAGTCCAGAGCTGAAGTTCTGTGTTCAGTTCAAGGCATTGCTCACTCACATAGGAAAAAAAAGAGAAGAGCATACAGAAAAATTTGGAAAGATAACCTTTGAAGCACCTTCTGAAGAACCCATCATTTTCAGAGAAAACTGAGGGGAGATATAAGAAGACTACGCTACAAAAAGAATGCTTATCAGTTTTTCACCACAGACTAATAATAATTAACTAATTAGAAGTAGTAACTTGTTTCAAATAAAGTGTAAGAGTTTTGTTAAACAAGGGAGACCTGTTTCAAACAAACAAAATCAAGGAGTTAGCTCTTTGTAGAGGACCTCCATCTGTAATGGTAGTAGGGCCATAATGGTAGCAGAGAAGAGGCTACTGGGAAGGTCTTGAAACCTCCTTTACTAAAAATGTACTAGAAATCATCCTACTTCTTGTAGGTGTGTCATGGTAAGCCTTTTCTTTTGCTCTTGGAGTAAGTCAGTGATACAGCTCCTCTTCACCTATGCCCACCAAAATGCAGTACTTACAGGTGATAACAACGATGGGATATTTAATCTGAGTTGGCCTGTGTATAGCTGAGCAATGAAAATTTATTTGATTTACACAGAAACATTTTGTAAAACAAACAAACATCCATGCAAAACAGGAAAAGAGTGACAGTTTAATGAAAGCAGAAGAGATTGTGTTCTTGCAGTTCTACATGAGATTCTTGCAAAACTACATGAGATACGTTAACATGCTTTTCTCCCCTCTCTCATGTCTCCCTATAGAATGGCTGATCATAGTGGCTGCTCTTGTGGCACTTGTATTGATTCTTGCAGTGTGCATTGCTGTTAACAGTCGGAGAAGGTAAGCTTGGTCAAAGAGTAGAAAAATATAATACAGGAAAGAGCATCCTCTGCAACGCTCTGTGACTTCAGGTGTGAGAGCCCAGGTGACCATGTCCTGCACAGGTCACACATCAGCCTCCACATTCACATGGAATCATGTGACATCAGTAGCTGTATAAACAGCTGTATAAACCGTTTGGTCTTGGAAATGGAAATTAAGTGTATATAGATCACAGAAAATTATTCTCTATCTCTTAGTTATTAATGGGAAAATCCTGTTCACTGAGAGAGAAACTGAGATGCACATAGACAGTAGCAACCGCAGGATGAGCTGAGTATAATCTTCCACCATTAACAGTGTTGTCTGTGTAGAGTGTGGAGGGCTGTATTGGACAATTGCTATCATTAATCTGTTCCTTCCAAACAAGAGTCAGTATCATAGCTGGCAGTCACAAGGATATATTCTAACATTGCTATCAGAGCTCTCAATAGCTTTATTTACTCTACTTTACAGATGAAGAAGCTGAGCAATGAAAAGGTGCAGTGATCTGCGCTGTTAGCCAGGAAATTTGAAAAACCCTTAACCTAAAGCATCGGCTATAAAGTTCTTACAGCTTTCTTTTCTCTGGGGGCTGTTCTGAGGTTACTTCTCGATTGTCTTCAACAGCTTTTTGCTGCTTGAATGTTAAAATTGAGCCCTTTAACAGAGTAACTACTGAATGCTACTTGAATATTGAATCTGAACTCTTTTTTTTTATTGGAGTAGTAACCATATAGTATGTGGAGATTTTTGTTCAGGAAATAGTGAGCAAATTTTTTCCTAGTCTGTTGGTTGCAAAACACTCTGAGCTGCTCTTTGAAGAGACTTTGGAGCTCCACAGCTCCTTGCTGGTGTCCTTTGGCATTTTATGGCTACAGAGCAGGAAATCATTCCCAAGGGTGTGTGCAACATTAGCACAGTGAACTAAGATATTTCAGATAAAATAACCCTCATCTATGAAAATGAAAAAGTAAGCATGAAAAAAATAGTATTTCTGAAGCATAATAGTATAATCGAACTGCCAAATTAGTAATTCAGGCAAAATATGCTTCATTTAAGAAGAAGCACTTAAAAGTACTTCACATTGTCCCTCTTAGGAGAGCTGTGCTTTGGATATTCAGTTTACACAAGGCTGTTTGAGGAAGCGTAGGATGTTCAACAGTGTGTAGCCATAGAATCATCCTAACAGTCTGAAGCAAACCTGAGAGCTGTAACTAGTACTTTCTTACTGCATTGAAGAGTACGCAGCCCATGGTGACCAGCATGCATCAGTTTTGGACTGGTGACTTTCTAAAGGAATATGTGTGTGTGTGTGTGTGTTTTCATTCAGAGCTTTATATAAAGTTTACTGGGCATCACTGCAGCGAGTGTAACTTTAAAGGCACAGTACCTATTTCATAAGGAACTGTGCTGCAGATAGCAGCAGTAGTGCTCCGTATTTCCTTGCTGCTCATTGGCTTCTAGGCTTGACATGCTAATAGAAAGAAAAAGAGAGTTGTTCTGTATAACGAAGTGAGAGCTTGATCTGAATTTTCTACTCCCTCGAGAACTCATGCATTTTCAAAGGTGTGTCCTTATAGTGGGATATATACAAAGTTCATAAATGTGGATATATTCAAAGGTTAGAAAAAGAATTTTGGCATTCAGTAATGAATGTTATTCCTATATGTAGGAAAAATAGATATAAATTGAATAGGTGAGCTCCTGACAAATGTTATGCATTTGGATACTTTCAAAACTGAAATATGCAATATGGAGAAACTTTGCACTTTGCATAGTGTAAGTCTGCACTGGCAGACACAAGTTTATTTTCCAATCACCTTTTCCTAAATATTGACGTTCAATTTTTTTCTTATTTCTCTTAGTCTCTATTAATATTATTTTATTTTTATTTATTTCTAGATGTGGGCAGAAGAAAAAGCTAGTGATTAACAATGGGAAAGGGGCAGTGGAGGACAGGAAGTCAAGTGCATTAAATGGAGACATCAGCAAATCACAAGAAATGGTGCACTTGGTTCATAAAGAACGGTCAAATGACCGAACACAAGCATGTGATGAACTTCTGACTGTCAATGAAACACAGAATCATCAGGACCTTGACATGAAGACTGGAGTGTAATGGTACCATGTTGCCAAGTAAATCAGGGCTGGGGAAATCAAAATCACGTGGAACTTGAACAGGAATTCACAGATGCACTGTGCTACTGATGTCTTTTGAAAATAAACATAAGTTTTATTCCTTTTTAATCACTTTACAATGTTGCCAGGGTTTAAAAATTGACATGTGCTTTCTGAAATATGCCCCAAGAGTTGCATAATGCTCTCAGTTCCCAGTCCCTACACAGAGGACTTTCACTTTGTCCTGGATGTTAGGAGACATACAAGTTTACCTCATTATTCCCCAGATGGAAGGTCTTCGCTGTGTGGAGCTTAAGAAGTATCCAGTCACTCCATCTTAGAAACATATAAGGTACTAAACTCGCCATGATACAAGAGTAAGTGAGGAAAAAATGTCAAGAGTGACAATCAACTCTAAACCCAAAAGGCACGCTCTGTAATGTCTGAAACATGAGAATCCTTCAGAAATGCCTTCCAGCCAGGAAGAGCAGAGGGTGCATTCAGAATCTGCCACTATAAACAGAAAGTGACATTTTGTAATTATGTGTGGCTTGGTCCGCAATGAGGGAAACCCAGAAGGATAAAATTTATTTATCTCTATTTTTAAATGATACTATGGGCATACAGCAAGTCTTCTCGGGAGGGGTAATAAAGAGATGAAAATGCGAACTGATACATAATAAAGGTCTATACTTTATCATCCTAGCAACCTGTACAATTATCCTTGAGTTTTTGAGATATTCTTTGCTCTTCTCCCTCCCTCATTCATTGGTCCAAGTTTGTGCATGTTTTTAATGAGTCTGTTAGTTAAGATAATGAATGAAACAAAATGACCCCAGCTCTAGCACACATGCACAAATCAAGCATTTGGAGATCATTAGGGAAGGTGACAGTATTTTATTCCTGAAGAATGGGTCTCTATCTTAGATAATTTAACTTTTTATTCCATTTAACTTAGGAGATGCTGAGCCTAGTAAAATTGTTTCCCTTATTATTATTATGTCGTACCAGTTTGCTGATATTTTAAAAGTTCTTTTTCTATGATTTCACTTATTTCCTCAGAATTCTATTTCATCTACATTTTTTCCATCTGCTTTTTAAAAAGAAACATTGCTTACGTATTGGTACCAGAAATTCAAATTCTACAGAAAAGGTCAAAGAAAATGAAAGGAAACTCTCCCAGCCATGTAATATAGTAGAGTCGCTAAGCTGCATTGTTATATGCTTGTGTTTTGTCCTTTTGTGTCTGTTATGTAAAGTATTTGTATTAAGCTATGATGCTGTGCATTATATTGATATGAATTGTCAGAAAAAATCTTATTTACTACCAGTGGTCTGTGCTATTTTTTAGCAAGCAGTTTGGAATGATAACTTCTAATTGGGCTGCCCCAAGAAAATGCAAGTAAAAACAATTTAAGGAATTGCAACCTGTGGTCTGCGTCAGCTGTTGGATAGGGATGGCCTGTAACAGGGTTATGCAAGTGTTCCTGTTCACTGACCATAGCATCTGTCTTTGAAACTGTTCTGCTAAAGCATTTTATTTTATGTTCTCCATCTGAAACAGTCTGGAGGATGAGTATTGAGCTAGCTAAATACTAACTTTAGCTCACACTGATCTTTACTGGAACATAAAGCACAAGACTGTTGATTATATTTCTGAATTGCAGTCCTCCAGCAGTTTCCCATGTGTTTCACTGAGATGCTCAGTGCCCTGGTATCTGCAGGCAGATCTTCTCAGGGCAATTTACACCTGGGCAAAAGGTCCCAAGACAAGCAGAGGTTTTAAAATATGCGTAGGATGTTATCTGACTTTATGTAGGTCAGGATATTTCATCTATGAACAGTGCATTGGTTTTTGTTTAATCCCTGTAATGTTTTTAAGAAAGCATTTCTATTTGTCATTACAAATCAAAATGTTCCGTTGAAGGCTGTGTTTAAACTAGTGTTAGGTACTCATTTCACTAAGTATGGAGATCCAGAGTAAGAATTATTCCTCTCTTTAAGTCCTAATTGAATATAGGTCTTAATGTAAAGGAGATATTTCATTGTCTTGGAGCCTAAATTTCTCTTTCAGAAAAAGAAAAAAGTTTGTGATGTTATTCATCTCCCTACACAGGTGTTGAATGAAGAATCTCACAAGCTTCTTCCTAGTTTACCTTATGTTCAGCAACTATAAATGCACAGACAACACTGGTTGAGTTTTTTTATATATTTTTAAATAGGGAGATCCTCAAGTTGTCTTTACAGAGGCACTGCCATTATTTTATATATGCTGGTTCTTTTTAGATTATGTCCTGTGATTCATGTGTGATTGTTTCATTATAGTTTCAAAACTACGTTTCATATGTGTAATATAGTACATATTTTTATTAATCTTGATTTTATTATATGAGGGGTTGTTTGTTGTGTGTATGTATTTTTATACAGAGCACTTGATATATTTGCATATTTATTTAACAGATTACTCAGAATGATAGAAAATATCATATCTAAATTGTAACTAGCAATAGTATTGCTAAAAACACATTGAACTGTAAAATAAGCTTCCAAAATAAACTTGATTCCATGTTGAGGATAAACAGTAAGACCAGCTATTAGTGGGAAAGAAGTATTCAGCAGGATAGTCATGTTGAGTATTTGTGACAATTTTTTCTGCTTGCAAATTCTAAGCCAGGCCGAGGTGAATGCTATGTGACCTTTTCTGCTCTGCCAGCCTTCCATAGGCTCCACAGATGCTCTGGGAGTTGGTGATCAAGTCAGCTTCCCCCCAGAAGCAGACATCAGCTTGATTCAATTTAAGATCAACCCACTAAGACCTGCATGACTATTCTTGGCTCATTGAACCAACAGCATTTAGAGAGCACAGCACCCAGCCCTTCCTTCAGCGTGCTGACAGGCAAATTGGGTTTTGGTCTATCCTTGGTGCCTAGGAAGTATGAGGATCTCTTCTAAAAATGCTGAGGAGGTCAGACCCTGTGATCAGCTTGTGTTAATTCTTTGTCTTGAAAAGTTTCAAATAAATGTAATCTAGACCAATGGAAATACTGTTTAAAGCAGTAGACGCATTCAAGAGAGAGATTTTATGTTTTATAAGAATATAATTTTTTTCATGAAGCAATGCAGAGTGATTGTTTCATCTGTATTTTTTTGAAGATCTTAGAAAGAGAAAGGGTATGTGGCCATCATGTCTACCTGTGTGGATATTAAACTCTTACCACAATATCAGTTCCAAAATTGTGACTTTGCAGTTTTTCACATGATATGGCTGTCTTTTGTGTGTCCCTTTTCAACAACATCAGCCTCTGTACTAATTAGTTTGAAGCATGTTGTCTGGAATATTATTAGGAGACAATTACCAAGTGTCCCTTTAGTGCATATCATTCTGGGCAGGGCTGGTCCTAATTATTCTTTCTGTAGATGAAGGAAAGAAATTAAATCCTATGGAAGCTGTGTACTGTCTCAGCTTACACAGATTGCGAGATATTTTGTAAGTCAGCAGTTAATGGGTTTATTTTAAGTTATATGAGACCATTCGGTAATAATTATTTCTTAGTCTTTATTAAACAATTCAAGGGTTTGACTCCCCTGGAGTCTTTGCAAGAGATCTGATTAGTCAAATATCAGCCCTTTTGGTAACCACAGATACTGTCTAATTTTTCTCTGTGGAAGGGAGAAGGACAAAAAGGTGGCAGGAAAAAGGCTGTTACCTTGGGTGCAGTTCCAGCTATGTGGGAGTGGGTGACCGGTTTCTTAAGAGTGGAAAGAATTGTGAAAAAGTGTTTTGGGGTTGGAGCTCTGGGGAATTAGGGATGGAGGGAGGACACAACTGATGGGAAAGGAAGTAAAGAGAGAGTGAAATTTCTGTACAGCTACTGGGAAAGTACCTTCAACACTCCCAGGCCTCTGGCACTTGAATGTTTCATAGCTCTGAGAAGGAAAAAAGAATTAGCCTTTTCCTGTGGACCTCCCCCACCTCCAAGTCAACCTCTACATTCACCACCTCCTTTGCAAAGTGATTTTGAATAATTTTCCCCTGGTAGCTTATTTCTTATTATTGCTGTGCCATGCTGCATTTGGCATCCACCAACACCATGCTGTGACCAAGCAGCTGTGACAGTGAGGAGTGAGAGGCAAAGCACAAATTCAGCAAAGATGAGTAATAATGTCTTTTGTACAGTGCAGAGACCGTGCTTTTTTTCTTCCCTTTCTCATTTGAGCAAGGTTAGCAACGGCAAGATTTCAAGAACATTTTGCTTCTTGCTTATCTTCCTGTTTTGAAAGTGCAGGACTGATATGGATCTTCACATAGCTGCGTAGTTTTTTTTAAAAGCTGAAGTTGAAGAAGCGAATCCACCACCAAAGAAGCCCTCCTGACCTCAAGACAGTTGATGATTGTTAAAGGGCAAGTAAAGCAGAGGCAGTGAAAGCTTCACTTATGCTTTAAACACAGCCTTCTATCGATTTTGTCTGGATGGGTCCAGCAAGAATTAGAAAGATTTTATCTGAGTGACACCTTCAAGGAGTCTCAGGTTTTTTATTAAAACTTCCTACTCTACAGGCAAAGTGGTTTTGGATTAACAAGTTGGGGGATGAAACCTACTTTCATACATTCTCTGCAACAAAAAGCTGTGTATTGAACACTGATGTGAATGTCTTTAATTTTATGATTTCTTTTGGAAAAAAATTATGAAGTTTTAGATAAAAATAAGACCACAAGGGCTGTCAAATAAGATTTTTTTTTTTTTTTTTTTTTAAGGAACAGACATAGTTTCAGCTAGTTTTAATATTCCAGACAAAATCTAACCATGCAAAACTACTTTTTTTTGGTCAATTTTTTTTGGGGGGGGGGAAGATTCTTCATGCCTAATGGATAAGACAGCTCTCCCTTTGTACTAAAATGCAATTCTTACAGGTAATTTATTTGCCACTGGAAAATAATTTATGTGCAAATTTACAATAAAATAGGACTATTCAAGTCTAAGATGACATAAGTGTATCTATTGGAAAACCCTCAAGCATTTTTTAGAATATTAAGGAAAAGCCTCACTGAAACACCCACTTAACTTAGAATTTAGCTCAACAGCTGCTTGCTTCTGGTGCTGAATCTGAGGCACAGTTAAAGTTAGGGGTATGTAGGCTGGCAGTGGTAAATGAGCATATGGCTCTCAGGCAGAGGCTCTGTGCACCCAACAACTTTCATGTCTGCTGAGCTTGTCCTGACGTCCTTCTAACTCCCAGAGCAACTCAGGACAGAGGAGGATATGATAAGGCATTTTTCACTTCTCTGGAGGCTGTAAATTTTGTACCTGGCATCTGAAAGCCTTGCCTCAGGCAGTCATATTATGGTGGGGTCAGTTTTAATGCCCATTTTGATAGTCACATGTTGAACTGTATAAATGGTTTGGTATCATTTGGTACTAAATGGCTCTGGTACAGCAGAGTTTTTAGCTTTAAATCTAAATTTACTTGTATTCACTGGTGTACATCATCTAGCTTCTGGCACCACATACTCAAAAGGGTTTTTTTCCCTTGGTTTAATCTGGAAAAAAAAAAAAACAGGCTTAGGTCATTTTCAATGAACACATTTTCTTTTGTATGAATTGAGACTCCTCACTTCCATTTTTCTCAGAACAGACAGTAATAAACTGGGTAGGTTTTGCCTCATGATGGGAATTTCAGTATTTTAATTTAAGAGTTTATATTCACCACTTTTAATCAGCCTACTTTTTTAAAAGCAAACATCCGGTTTAGGGCTGCTGCTGCAGATTTCTAGCAGCACCTTGCCATAGCTACCTCGGGGAGACAATTTTCTGCAGCTCTCAGCCTGAGCCTGTAGAATGAGTTTACCTAAGGTGAATCCATCACAGCTGAGCCCCATAATCAAGCCACAGTGATCTCAGCTGACAACAGTACTCCAAAGGAGAGAATACGCCTCCTGCACATACCGTGGAGTACCACCATCAATGATACAAGCCTCAGAGCAAATCCCTGGACAAAGTATTTTGGGTTCCTTTCAGTTTTCAGATTCATAAATTATTCTATGTTTCAGCTTTGTTCAAGCATTGCCAAGGTACATCTAAGTACTGTCTATCCGTATCCTAGTGTGCAAGCACATGGGGTTTGTCTTACTGTAAAACTGTTTCACAATCATCCACTCAACTTGGTATGTTTTGTTTTGCAGAAGTAGGTCATCAGATTCACCAGTGGAGTCAAGTTCATAGTTGTTGGGTATTTCCCTACAGTTCTTTTGTAGTTCATTTTCATCCTTAATTAGTGAAGTGAAAATCTGAAATAAACTCTAGGTAAGGCTGTTTGTTCAGCTAGTGACTTAAAAAACAAAATTGCCCTTTGTTCAAGAAGGGTGACTTCACCCCTGCCCATGAAGAGGATAGGTATAAAGCCTGCCTGTTGGTTACAGACCAGTCAAAATGGGAGAAATGAGGTTCAGAAACAAAGCTTGTGTGATCTTTTCAATTTAGGTAATACCACTAACCTCAGTGAAACAATGGAATGAATTTTGAGTGCATTTCCTAGCTTGGTCTCTCTACTTGTCCCTTCAGAGAGTTGGGAGTCAGATGTCTTTTCTCACTTGCACATCTCCACTGCAGCATTTCTCAAGTGATGTCCATGGGTCACGGGAAAATGGTCCATGGAGCACTTTCTGGCATCCCAGTAAGAAAACAGACAAATGGAGATAGATTAGTCTTACAATGAGCACAGGAAAAGCAAACATTTTTAGTTCAGTCACAAGTGAGAATGAAGAGCACAACACTGTGTAAAATAGACCCTCTGTTGCTTTTCTAAGTGCTCATCCTTGTGCTACAGAAGCACCATCAACAGTGTGAGGTCCTGTTCCTCCAGATCCTGTCCCTGTGAGTTTTGGTGGGTGACAGTCAGCTTTGTAATTTATCTGTCTACACAGACACGTTCTGCTTATCACCACAGAACCTGCCTGCTCTGCTAACGCCACCACAACCACAAGGCCTGATCTTGCATGCAGTCTGTTTTCCTTCCTACTTTCACTGCATGCTGTACATGTGAGACAGCAGACAGACACCTGCCAAGCCTGCAAAGCTGCCTCAGTTTTGTGTGCATGCACAGGGCTCTGCACAGCTTCGGAAGCAAAATGGCACTAAACCCTGCTGGGGTATTTGTACATTCTTGTAGTATAAGTGCTTGCTGCGAATAACTCTTTTTAGCCCAACCGAGTGTAATTTTTAATGTTGTTTTTCCCCTAAAGCACTGTATGTTGGGGCCACCCGTTTCTTTCATAACCTTGTCCTGTTTACACGTACTATCTAATACAAAGGAGAAGATTGAGTTTTAACAACCCTGAGTGTTATCTCAGTTTTTCTTTCATGCCTGAGAGGAGATATAGAAATATCTCTTAATATGAGTCAATGATTCATGACTGTCTTTTATAGCACCTTCTAGCAGATTCTTTCCTGTAGAGAGGGACACATTTCAGATAAAAAGACACCCCTGAAATAATCTTTTGCTTTAAGGCTGAGGACATGGAGGAAAAGGGGTACACAAGGGGCTTGCAAGCACTTAGAGAATCAGCCTTTGGGGTGTGTATTTTCAGAAGGAACAACTTCATATAATTGCATTCATATAATTGTACAGGGTTCTGCATGGGTCATGTCGGGCCTTTTATTTTCAACTTTTATCATGATGTGTAACAGAAGATTAGCCACTTTCTAGGGAAGGAATTTGAACGTACACAGTCCACATGAAATGTGTGAGGGATGGGGGATCACGAACCAACTTCAGCAGGGAATTTTACATCAGCAGAATGCATTTATTAACAACACTTGTTGATGAGGCCAGACCAAGGTATTTTTGCCTCTGGCAGAAAGCAGCAACATGGTATCAAAATGGCAGCAGATAGCAGGGGCCTCAGATTTACTTTTTGCCCAAAGATCCTCCTAGCACCACATCAGGACTTAGTTCGTTACTGACTAAGAGGGCAGATCGCCAGCTGAGGTGCTGCCAAAGCCACTTCCTGCCATGCCTGGGTTTCTTTGGAAATTTGTCAAGTGGATGATTAAGAAGAAGCAAGGCCAGGGCTGTGCATACAGTTAATCCTCACAGCCGAGGTTTCGGTTATGTGTCTTTATCACACAACGGTAGTTATGCTATTTCCGTAAAGTCTGCTACTCTGAGCATGCATAAATGTTGGAGCTTTCTTTCCATACTTAGCAACTGCCAGTCCACAGGGCCATGGATTGCTCCATAAGCATCTCTTACTTTATGTGTTAAATAAATGTTGATTTCTTTACAGAGTACTCAAGAAGTTCCGCTACAGGCTTTATTTATTTTTTTTTTTTAGAAAGACTATGAATAAGAGACTTATTTTTTCATAGCCAGGGAGGGAAGTAGGTTTCTAAAGCAACTGCAGCCACTGATTTGTATTCTCCTATTCTTCTAACATCTCTTTTCACTTCTCTTGGCTTCATTGCCAAGAACTGTGGCCAGTGAGCCCTGGCCTTTTTGGGAAATGAGCTCATTTGCAGTTGGCATCCTGGAATATTTGGAGGATACAGTGAAGGGTGAGGTTTTCTAACAGTTAGGCAAAGTCAGGTCCATCTTCTACCCTGAATGTAGTTTTCAGAACAGCCAGCCTCTCACACCAGACTGCTTTATTTAAATTCCTACACAAAGCATTCCCATATTGAGCCCAGGCTGAAATTAAAACTCACAGATGAAAATTATGAATCAACATTTATTGATGTATGTACATAAGAGGTACAACACTTAGTGAAATATTATATTCATGACTATATTTCCAGTATAGAAAGAATGTCTAGTTTGTTTTATACATGAAAGTTACAGAAATCAGTTCACACCGTAAGAAAGCATTAAAAGCAAATGACTAACAATCCTTGTAAAGAAGAAAGGATCTGAACTACAAAAATAGAATCAGTCTACAAGGCATTCCAACTACAATATACAAGAATAGAGCCAAGAGTTGGGAGAAATTTTATCATCTGCATTCATTAATTTTTAAACAAACTGTGCCACAGATTCTTTACAGTATGTAAATTCAAAATCTGCAGAACTTTTTGAATGTAAAGAAAAGACCAATCTTGTCCCTCTTCCTTTTTATCCTTTTTATGTGAAAGATCATAAAACCTTCCAGTTCATGTCTGGTCACCTTAAAGAAGGGGCAAGGGATGATGAATAGGCAGCACACAGTACTCCAGCATGCAATTCATCCTGAAGCATCATGATGGGACTCACCAAGCAAGATAGATTCTGTGCTTTGGGGCCTGATTTTTATTTCTTTCTGCTTAGAGGGGATGATTACATTCCTGAGATCCAGGTCCAGGGCATCTAGGAACAAATCAGCTCCTTCTTTCTATACAGCCTTATTTTCTCACAGATCTGAACTGCAGCCCTGATTTCAGAAGATTTTTGCCACTGACTTTGTAGTTCATATGTCTGTTTTATGAACAGACATAGTTCTGATAACAGGCCTATACAACAACCACAGTAGCTTGAGAAGCTGTTAGTTTTGCATTTATTTTCCAATAATTGTTAATATCCCTTTTTAACAGTGAAAGAAACAGTGCCCCTTTGCCCCTGAGCTTATTCATCTTTCTCAGAGACTGTTCCTGCTAAGGGGATGAAATAGAGGTTCCTACTTGGACTTTGCAGGCACTCTGGACAGAACTGACAGCCCCTTGCTGCCTGCAGGCTTGCCCAGTCATAGCCGTGGGACTGCACTGCTTTCCTGGCATTTGTGGTCAAGGAGAAACTGGAAATGACTCAAAGGGATCCTATGATGCCATGATGTGACTAAGGGCTGAATGTTGCACAGAGTCAAAAGCAGCCAGGGCATCCAACAGGAATGCAGTTAGATGGATTTCCCCGTATTCATTGTGCCAATTTAAACAGTGACTTACTAAACTTCTGGTGATAAAGAGTTCAAACATTTCAAGCAAACAAAGAAAACAAAACTTATCACTTCATGTGAACATTAATTCATTAACATGTCATAACAAGTGCATTCACAAGGCAGGAAATCTATGCTGGGATCACTTTCATTTACTGCCAGAGAACTACACACATGCAGCTTCTAACACACACCATACTGGTTAGATAGCTGAAAACTAAAATGAACATATTTACAATAAGCTGTCTGCATACATGATTCTGAATGTTATCAAAACTGGATACTCCATAACAGACAGACAAAGTAGTTACTAAGCTATGGAACCTAATCAGTTGAATGGCCAAAAAGAAACAAACCCAGATACAAATGAAAAACAGAAAGTAGAACAAAATTTCAAAACACTGCCTAATTTTCTACTATGGCTCAACACATAGAAACCAATTAAATTAAATTAATGCACTGCTACACATACTGTATACACCATTTCACTGAAATTACATGTTGATAGCTACATTATCTACACTAAGTGCAGAGAGGCACTGGACATCATGCTTCAACAAAATGTCAAAAATTGTATCAATAGGGTTTTCCAGCTATTAGTAACTGAGCACTATTCTACCAGTGATTCCTATTAAGATAATACCTGTTACATCTGATTTAAAATACAATAAAGATTAAAATACAAGGGTATATCAACACACTTCCTACATATATATATCTACTAGAAACTTAGGCTCCAAAACCTCAGCAGAATAACATGGCCCCATAGATTATTTAATCGTTAAAGAGATACCCAGTATCAGTCACACTGAGACAGCAGTCCTTGCTATTCAATGTTTGCTTTGTTTTGAATCACAGTCAAAGAGCTAGTAGGCCATAGAAGATTTTTTTGTTATATAGGTGTTATGAATATTTATATTAATTTTTTTTTATTCCTCTAAAAACAGTTCCTTATTTATTAAGTAGAAATTATTATAGCCACGGCCTTAATGCCAACAGGTATTTGCCTAATGGGAAGGGATGACCAAAATGAGAAGCAACTGCCATCTGGGTCGAAAAATATAGTGGTTATTCTCTTTAAAATACATAAGAAAGCAAGAGGTATTTATATGGATGCTACCCAATTACATTGGTCCCATGGCGGTTCTATTGGTCCTTTTTCAAGAAGGCAAAAGTAGGTGGTGAGATCATAAACTCTTTCCACAGGCTGAACTCTCACACACTGTATTGTGGCAAGATGGACAGGGTACCTGGTAGCATATTTTTTGCCTCCTCAGATCTCCAGTTTTTCTAAAACTGCATTCTGAGTCAATCAAATATATATTAGCAGGGCCTAAGAAAGAACTGCAGGATTTGGCAAAGGTAACATCAAGAAAAATTATTACAATGAGGGACGATTGCCCAAGACAGTCAACCTAGAAGATTGCTCAGATAAGATTATTATAACACTGTTCCATAATGAACTGCAGCATTTAAGGACATCTTGAAATTCCTATTTGCTTCTTGCATTTTGTGCTTTGTCTATGAATTGTCACTAAACATAACACAGAAATATTTCATTGATCCTAAATGTCATATGAAAACTGGTTTTGTTTTAAGGTATAGATCACCTTTAGAGAATTATGTCCCTACCTTATATAATCACATAGAAAATATTATAAGAAAATATTTGTGTGTCTGTAAATTACAGATACTAGGTAATTTAAGTCAGTCTACACTGTAGTTTCTAGAGAACAAGTACAAACCCCTAAAACCTGTATTATTCTTAACTAAATCAGTGTTGAGCATATAATATTTAATACTATAAATACATATTCAGCTTTTTCTAATGCATTCGACAAGCAAGAGCTCACACCAGACCATAGGAAATATGATATATTTAAGAAAGGAGCAGGATGTGTTGGATGGAAGTGTATGCAATTGTCTTTAAGAAAGAAGGACAATGTGTAGTGCACAGGAACTCACAAATCCATACAAACCATCAAAATGGAAATGCTATAATCTACAATACTAACTACAACATCAATATGCAAGCACAGTTTGCATACAGTCTCCAAAAAACTGTAGAAAACGAATGGAAAAGAATGATACAAAAATCCCTGCAAACTATATTATTTATGTACAAAGCAATATACAGGTACCAGACAATCCAGGTTGTGTGATGCTGCCTATGCCAGTTTCTCTTCATGCAATGATGTATGCCACAGAGCATCATTAAAAACAGTTGCAGGACTCCTGAATGTTGAAAAATCAGACAAGAAGGAATGGATGCTCTAGCATCAATCAGCAACGGCTCTACAGCAGAATGTAGTTAGAAATGAAAGGGGATCAAAGTTTGGGTGAAGTGATAAATCTTACAAGTCTTCTTGTCTCCCCATATCTTACATTAGTCTGTCAGTTATTTCCATCCTGGACTAGTAGAGACCTACTCAGCGGCTCAGTCATATGCTCTAGGTTTTTTCAATATTTGGAACCTGGCTTTTTTGTAAGACTCGTACTTGCAACTGCACAACCACTTTATCTGTGTTAGGATTTGTATCAACCCGGTAGTGGGGAGCAACTAGGTTTCCCCTGAGCAGGGGAAGATGTCTCTGAGATGGTGGGCACATGTGAGGGAACGGTTCCTCAGAGCCTTGTGCCAGGGAGCCCACTCATAAGAGAAGTAAAAGAATTACCAGCACCTGGGCATCAGCAGCAATTTGATTCATTCGTAGCAGCAGATTTCAATTTAACATAGAACATGATCAGGAAGAAAAAATGAGGGAGGCATCCATTGTACAGTCCCCAGCTCCTGGGGACTTTGCCCAGAGTCCTGCCTTAAGTGTGCAGAACTGCAGAGTCTGTGCTTTGTCTGAGGACCATGGAGAGATACAGCCTTCGTGCCTATGTGGGAAGAAAGACTGACAACTTTGGAAGGAATGTGCACTAAATACATTTTTTCAGGAAAATTGTGAGCAAGAACACAGCATTTTAAAAAATTACATGGCGAAGCTGAACAATGCATTTACAGCTTGACTGCCTTCTTTGACACTTCAGTATCATGATTTCTTTTTTTTTGTTAGTACTTGAAACTACACTCTATATATCACTATTTAGACAAAGGAAATGGGGTAAATATTTTTCCTTCAAAGTCATCAATATTATTGGAGAGAAGAAAATAACTCATCTTTCCAAGAATGCTTTCTGCTGGGAACAGGAGCTTCTATATAGTGTTACATGGTGAATTATAGCCGAGGTTAACTGTCTCAATGGACTCTACACCTATCACAATAGCTAAGATGAAAAATATCATAATTGTGGCTTTAATAGTCACAGTAATAAAAATCAAGGACAGTCTTCAGGCTCATAACAGAATAATATTACAGTACATTTTTATAAAGTGCCCTTATCTATCCTTCTGTAAATTAATTCAAATGCAGCAATAAAAATAGATGAATGGAACTTAATGAAATGAGAAACAGTTATACCTTTACATCTCCACAAAAGGATTCTTCTGAGCCTGATACTAAAGCTCAGAGCCCTTCTGAAGATAATTACAGAAGTGAATGTTAGAGGTGAGGTTTAATACTACCTATAGTTATGGGGATTTGTGCAATTGCTGCTGTGTTGCTACAACAAGGCTGCAATAACACTAGCGAAGGCAAGGAAGCAAAGAAAATCCAGGCAGTCACCAGAATAAATTTGTTCAAATGCTAATGCTGTCACTTCTCAAATGAACAGTGTGCTCTTCTGAGTGTTTACTGCTGGAAAAATAATGACCCTGGGAGTGATGGAAAACAAATCAGAAATCTATATTACTCGTACTTTAAAAGTGGCATAAAGTCTAGAATTCCACATGCTTTGAGAAAAAACAGAGATCAGCTGTACCTTAGAGAAGATATGGAAAAAAACTGTAATGATAGTGATCCTTATTTTTGTGCTGAGTTTTAATTTCAGTGCTGGACTTGTAGCATAGAAACAATTAGGTAAAAAAGAAGCATCTTGGCAGATATCTTTTTGGATGTGAGAATCAACTTCATTATAAATAGCAAACAAAGACTATTCCCTAGGATGGGATTGTGAAATGTCTTATAAATTAACAGAGACAGGAAGGGACTTGACTTTTCCTGGAAGCTTGTGACTCCCACAGATTTCAGTGGGATTTCATGTAGTCCAATAATCAAAGCATTGCAGGCACAGGTTTTACCACTGCAAACAATTTTTCAAAGACATACCGAGTTTCTCACCAATTCAAATGAAAAGAGCACATCTCATAATACAGTTCAAATAGCTTATCCCCTACCTATTTGAAGCATCTTCATGTATAAGACCCATACACGTTTCTTAAAAGGCTGGTGCAGCCTTTGTCTTCCAAGGGAAGCAATGAAGAAACAAGTTTTGTCAAAGTGCTCCACCTCTCCCATAATTTTAACATAGAGTATGCTTTAGTTTCAATGAACAGATACTAAGAGAATGCCAACCTCGCTTCAGCAGCAAATGAATAAAGCAAACACATAAGCATGTATTTAATTTAGTATGCAATTAGCTGCGTCTTTGCCTGGTCTAGACTTTTCCATGTGCCAGTGTGCTGTCAGCAATCCAAAGGCCAAAGGATATTGCAGTGCCACAGACAAAGGTGGGGGGAACTGCTAGAGCAGCAAATGAGATGAATGCACAAAGAAATGTTAATTTGAACTACATAGAAAACAAATCACTTTCCACTGTGCTTTTCCTTTAAATTTGCCACCCCAGCACTGTGAACAGATACAAAAAAAATTGCCAGATTCAAATGAATGCATCGACACTCCTGGTGAAACTAAAAGGAGGCTGGCACGTAACCAGCACTGCTTGCTGAAATGTGAACTTTGTATTAACTGAAGTGGACGGTCCCTTGGTTATTTTCTGTTTGTTTAGTTAAGTAGCAACCCAGCCTCGTGTGGATTGAGCAAACCGAGAAATGAAAGCCAAGAGTGAGTTACATTTTCCCACAGAAGTGGAAAGCTTTTTGATGATTTAATACAGTGCTGCACTGGAGTAACACTATATTAAATATTCAGTCAGGCTACAAGTAGAGGAGTAAAAAAACCCAACATTTCTCCTTCTCCCACATCCACATTTAAATAGAGAAATACCATCATAATTATCTTTTGAAAAATCCCTGAGTTACTCTATCTACAGAATTACTATTTTAAAATCACAGTCTGCTATTCTAATCCTATCAAAAGACCTAAATTTATTCTTCCATATGTGGGTGGGGTTTCTCTATTATTGCATTCCTTCCTTCCCTAGTCTCTATCCAAAGAAGCACTCTTCAAAGGACAATACATCCCAAATGGATAACTGTAAGCATATTTTAAGCATTTCTCAACATGTAATTTTGTGGAGCTGCCTAGTCACATGTTACTGACATTCCTGTTTGTTTCCAACTGCTAAACAGTTTCAAATGACAGCTAAAAGTATATGGACCAGTTTTCTAAAGCTACTTTAAAGGCAAGCAATCACTGTGGCTGCTGCTAAGAAACTGCTATGGTGAAAAAGGATGAAAAATCATCTGTTAAGGGGCGAGCTGTGCCATGAAACAGCTCAAGAATGCTGGATATAAACCAGGGTAAACGCTATGTGTTTTTCTTGGATATAACTACCACCCAAGTCACAGCAAATTTCACTTGATGTGAGCCAGCACCCTCAGAGTAGGGAACATTTTACAGTACCTACACACCATCCTAGGCACATTTCTGGCACATAACCCAGTGAAAGCTAATGGGGAGAAGCAGTAGCTAGATATAGGTTAACTCTGGATATGCTGATAACAATGGCTGAAGAAAAGAGAATCTGTCTGCCACTTCTCTGAATAACCTACAATTCCATCCTTCACCAAAAAAAAAAAAATTAAAAAATCCTTAAGATACTTCAGGAGGCCTCTGGAAAAGGTCTCCATCTTTAATACATGTTAGAGGCTTACAGAATTCACAGTGGTTCAATATGTGTTAAATTATATAGGTCATTTTGCTTAGGATTGTAGCCATGGAATTCAAGTGATGACAAAAATACAACAGTAAGAAAAATATTCCACAACAAATGCCTAAAGGAGGGATACTCTGACAATGGACTTGATCTTGCACATTATTAACCATGCAAGTAGCCTTAGCTGGCTCAGGTTGGTGTGCATTTTCAGAGATTTTTATATGAATGCAGATGAACAAAAGCAGACCATATTTATATTTTAATAGCTTCTACAGAGTCAAATATCAGTCTACAGTTAAACACATTATTCCTGTTTAAACCTATGACAGGTCTGAGCACAGACACTGAATAGTCTATTTCCATAAATGTTTCAACTCTGTTTACCGCCATTTTTAAGTTCACCATATGCTCATATTCCGATTCATTCTGAGAACTTCCGAGAGCTCTCCCAAAATTGCAGAAAGCTTGTTCTGTGAGTAGAGCCTTCCAAGGCCATGTGGCTCAGCTTTGCTATAGAACATTGCTAATAGTATAATGGTATTCACTAGTATCTTAAAATTGCTGAATATTAACAAGCACCTTTAAAAACACTTCACAGGGTGATTATTGTAACTGTAATTTCTTCTGACAGGATGAGTCAGATATAATCTGTTTACAAAACACCATCTCATTAGTTCAGATGCCATGTACTCTAAAAAACATTTCTTTGCCATTAGGGAGTTATATGACTTATTACTCTGCAAAAGAGAGAGAGATGTAAATTCATTAAATCCTGAAATTCTGGTTTAGTCTTCTTTCAGTCCTAACCCTGGACAAAAATCTATTAACTTTATATGAAATTTGGTTTAGCAATGAATTCAGGATTTAGCCATTCACTGAAACAAGATATACTTGAAAGATGGCTTTCACTTCATAGCAAATGCTACTGATTATCACATTCAATAATTCTCTAAGAATAATGGATTCAGAATTTGTTTGTAGCTCAAGTACCCAATCATAACATCCAAAATCAATCTTAGCAGTACCTTACTGGAGTAGTCTCATTCACATGAGAAATCTCTCTGATCAGTGGAGCAGGGTGAACATTAAGGTACTACCTACTTTGATTAAGAATGCCATAACTGAGTCAGTGGTTTTGCACATCAGGCAGATTTAGTGAACTACCACCCCTGTAATTATACTGCCTTGTATTATGTGATGCACTGTGGTCACAAAGGAGCATTGCACCATCATAAAATAAAGGCTGCACCTGCCCTGGGACACCTGATAAAAACACACCACATGCACATACAAATCTAAGGTCTTCTCTTGATGCTATTAGTCGTACTGATCTAACATAATGTCTGGGATAACTTATTGACTTCTATACATTAATCTCGCTCCTGGATCTAAGGTCAGTTTGAAGTACAACTAGGCACAAAAGTACAGTGCTTGTAATTATTAAAAGAAATAGAAATCATTATGGACGTTTTCAAAAGATATTTTAGCCATACAGTGATAAACAGATCAGGTATGCCACAAGAGTCACTAAAACACTTGAAGGCTTACGTGGTGTTATGTTTCTCTCATATTTGTGACCCTGAGTCCCTGTAGTGAACTGTACTGGCACTTTGATCTTCCCATTTTGCAGCATTTACATTCTCTGTGTCTTGAATGAAAGGGAAAGTGGGTGAGAGCACATTGCACTGCATGGAGTATTCTCCAGCTGCATCATCCAAACAGTAACACAAGGGAGACAGATGGTTATGGATCATTGCTTGGCAAAGACACTACAATGATTTGATGAGATCTTTGCTAAGTTTCATTTACGAAATTAAGTAAGCAGAAACTGTAGATGTTAAATAGAAAAAAAAAAAAAGAGAAATCTTCTTTAATCATGATATCTTCTGCCAGAAGATAGCTCCAGGGTTTATTAAAGATGCAGCTAGGGATCTCTTCACTTATTTTTCACGTTTCCAAGGCTCTTCTTCAACAACACTGAAGTCTGCAGATTTGCCATTGGTTGCCAGTGTTACCTGCAAGTAATTATCATCAACAACCGACTTAAAGGCCAAGGCACTTTGATAAGAAAAGTAATGAGTTTCATATGGAAGATCATGATATTTGCAGGAATTACATACACCACGACTTATTATATAAGTGTTTATTCAGGATTCATAACACTGCCAAATACTGAGAGTCCTGTTCATTTATTATACTGACTAGAAAACATTAGCAGTAGAAAAATGTTATTAAATAAATATTTTAGAATTTACTCTTTTCCATCTCTTATAGATTTCTCTGAGTTATTTCAAGGACAGATTACTTTTTTTAAATGTAGAAGGTCATATTTTTTTCAGTGGAATTCCTTAGCAAAGCTGCATAACTGATGCAAGGACATGAAAAACATGCAAGGTCTGAATAATCATAGATGTGTATCTATACTAACTCACCTACAATTACACCACCTTTAAAGAAATGGAAGAAAAGATATATTGTGAAAGTATTGTTCATCATACCACTGTAACAGTGTAGTGAAAGATTTTGAGTATAGCCAGATCAAAAATTCATAGTAATGCTATATTTGTCTCACAAAAAGTACCACAAAACTTTGCTCTTTTCTGCAAAGATATGTGCTAATATTTTCAGGTTTAAGTATGGTAGAACACCTGTAGTGATCTACCAGCCTGAGTTGGTACTCACAGTAAACACTGTACGTTGCATTCCAGAAATCACTATAAATAAATTCATGTTTCAAGAAAGATATCTCCAGCCAAATGACTTAAAAAAATTAAAAAGGTAAAATGTCAATTTAACTTTACAAAAGTGATCTAGATCTTTATAATGTGAGAAAGTATTTCATTTAATTCTAAATGGATGGTTTACTTTTTCCTAACTTACCTTGTAAGTTAACATCCTCAGCTTCAAATGAAAACTTAAAGACAGAGCTGAAATTCCCCATGCTGGATAAACTGGATGCATGGAAGCATTGGGACATGGAAACATGACAAAATGCACTGATTTTTGAAACAAAGTCAAGCTTTTTCTTAGATCATTGAAAGTGGGAAACATGCAAATACAGGAATGAACAGCTTATTCAAAAATGAAAATCACATAGAGTCATGTGATAATAAAAAAAATACAAAAATATCATGCAATAACAACCATTCTACCCCCATAAAAAGGTAAACTAATTATTAATTATGTACACTGACCATGCAAAATTATAAAGTACTAGTGTTATACATGGAGTATATTACAGAAAGTAAACAGAAAGGACATGCTAGTAGATTAGCTTTTCCATATCCTGACCAGAGTTGCAGTATGCTTTTCAACCCACCAGTGCATTTGACAGGATGAAGAGATGTCTCTTCAAATTTAACCGCTGCTTGTTTTGAAGCCCCAAATCCTATTCTCTGTTGCCTTTGCTAGTCTAACACTTAGGAGCTGTACAGGTACTTCAATATGATCCAAACATTTTGCAGATGTCAGCATAGCTTATCAATTAGGTCATGACAACACATCCTTTTGGCAGCTTGCAGACAGATACATCGACAAGAGAAGTGATCTGCTCAAAGTCAGTTTTGTGCTCAATCCAGTAAAGACTGGCTCTTTTTATGAGTCTAAAAGTGCAAAATGAGATTGCAAGCAGAGCAAACCTAAAACAGTTAAAAAGGACAAACACTTCTAGCTCATACATCCTTGGTCCAAAACTTTAATTAAAGGGTGTGCTTAGGATGACATAGTGCACTATTAATCCATGTTTTTGAGGCAAGCTACTGTTTCAAATGAGGGAAATGATAAGAGAAACTGAAGGAGAAAAGAAAGTCTAGCAAATATTGATTGCATCAACTTTCTAACTTGACTTGGATCTCTGTACAAACCTGAGAGACTGGAAGCAGACAAAATTATCAGTATTCAGTTCCATGAATGTGATTCAAGACTGCTATATGGTAGCTTAATTTGTCTTAAACTTACTGAAATTAGCATAGTCTATTTAACACAAAGACACTTTTCCAAAAATTCTAAAGGAAGTTATCCGAAAAAGGGGTGTGTGCACATGCTTATTTTTAATGAAAAAAAAAGCTTTTATCAAATGTTATCTTTCTCTTCAGAGAGTTTCTTTTTTCCTTCAAATTTTAATCTCTTGTGTCCTTCCCTTTTTTGAGAAATATAAATTAATGACAATTTTTGATTTTGTGCAATCATGTATTCTCTTTCCATTTCAGATTTTATTTTTTTAATTTTTCTCATGGAAAAAGAGTGGGCCAGAAGAGAAAGGGGAGAGCCGTGTCAGAATAAAATGTATGTTTTCATTTTTAAAAAATCATTTTATTGAAACCTTGGAAGATTCAGGGAAAAACTGAAGATGAAAATTGTTTTTTTTTCTGAATCCAGTATTACTTTCTCCCCTGACAATTCAGGTTTGGCCTACATTATCAAGAATGAAGCATTAGGAAAAAAAAATATTCTAAAGAACATTTCCAGCCAGGCTAGAGACAAGTGAAAATGACAGAATAGGACTTATATTTTGATATATATGGTGAGCTAATGAACTTAGTGCAGTCATTCACAGTTAGATACTGTCTCAGTTGTGGTAACTGGAAGATACAAGAGAATCTCTTTGAATAATTGGCTAAGGTGGGCCAATTGGCAAATTCACTGTCTCAAAGACAGTGTACAGCATCAGACTGGAGTGTTAATAAATAAAAAAAAAAGACTATGAAATTAAAGGTTCCATCTTATTTTCACTTTCTTCCTCCTCCTTTTCAAAAGCTCTCTCCTGATCTTAAACTGCCCCATCCTAGTGGTGGGCTCTTTGTGAACTTTTAACCACTAATCTCCCCAACTGTTTTCTCATTCAACTGGTGGAGTTTCCCAAGCTCACTTTACTCTGATCAAGATGTTATTATTACTATTAATATCCCACGTTAGTTACAGCAAGGATTAGAGAGAGAATACAATGTTTATGTCTTAATGACTCAAGAAGGAACGATGTGCGAAGCGAAGCATGAGCATGCTGTATGAGTGCAGGAGCATTCTGATGCTAAAGTGCATTCAACATGTCGATCTCTGAACAGCATATCATGAAGGCAGTCAGCAAGTGACAACAGCTGTATCTGAATTGCAGCTATCCTTCATTTGGGTTGGCAATTAAGTTCTCTGTTGCCATAGAAAATTAAGTAAATGTCCATAGAAGGTGATGCCATATTCTCTGCGTCTTGGCATATCCCATAATACGCTGCATCTTGCCTTTTGATATGTAAACAATGTACATGATTTTTTCCCATCAAATGACAAGTTTTAAGAAGAGTGCAAAAAAACCATCTTTTGAACTGCTCAAACACATTCAAAATGTCTGGGGTTCATGAACCTTGTTGTCACATTGTTATTTGCAGAACGATTTGAAAAATACATGCAGGTTAAAAAATAAGATAAAATAAAGCATGCAGTGCTATATACATGTCTCAATATCCATAAATGTGAAAGGTACCTTGCACTCATCTACCATGACTGAGTTGTGAGCTGCAAAAACACATTGGTTTGAGTTGTTTTCCCTATGATTTTTCATGTCGTCATAGATCGACTGAGTCTTGGTCATTTCAATGTCTTCGTGCCCTTTATGATGGGAATCAATGGTGTCGAGTTCTGCCTTGGAAAGGTGGTAGACAATGCCAGCACCAAAAGAATCCCCCACTACATTGACTGACGTTCTCATCCGGTCCCTATAAAAGAAGCAAAAGGCAGAGGCTGAATGGCATGAGAGGAAGAAAAAGTAGGGCATGGCAGCCCTGTTACTGTCACAGCTACTGCTCTGGTTTCAGGAAGTTAAGGTATCTGTTGAAGAGAGAGATGGGAGCTTTCAAGGGAAAAGAAAAAAGCTTGCTTTCCCAGGGGACTTGTTCAGACAGCGAGGATGTTCAACCTCCCATGTCCCAGCTGCTCATTCTCGTGGAGTTTGGCAAAGAATGTGTGCTAGATCACAGCCAAACTGCAGAGCAGCTTGACTGAGATCTCCCCAGTGCCTGCTTCTGGAGCTGGAGGTTTCAATGTCCACATACCACTGCCCTTTGTTTAATCAGAGCGCCGACCTTAGTGCAGCCAGGGAAAAGGATTTTGGATCTAATGAGCTGTTCTCCTTTCTGGTATGAATTAACAAATGGCTTCTCCCTTACTCTCAGTGAACAAACTATGGGGAACAAAAATGCATGAAATATCTCCATAATGTTCAGGCCATTGAAGCTCCTCTCCTGGCACCATCTTTACAGATGGCCATCTGTTAGTGTGGCAGCATGCCCATTCACACTACTCCATGCCAGAGCTTGGCATATGAGCAAACCAAATATAGGTCATGGCCTACAAAATAATGAGCCTGTGACAGCATTTCAGTAATGAATGCCCCTCGTTGGAGGGTGCCAACTAAGGCTAACATGCTTAATTTCAAACAAATATGTTCATTGGTGCTTCCTTGACAGGATTTCATTGCATAGACATGCCAGTTTTCTGCTGTCTTGTCTTTAGTGTGGCTCTATCTGTCAACAGTGAACTCATGGTTGTGCATTTTCCCTGATTTCAAAATTCTGCCCCAAACGTGCCCAAAATTCTGCAAAAATGGGAGATGGGTCCTGCTATCTTTCCTACTGCAGGTAGGCTGCATTACACCTGTTGAAATAGTTTACAGTCTAATTTGTCCTTTCATATCTGAACTAAACATAAAACTCCTTAAACCCTTCTGACCAAGGTTTGCAGCTTAAAGCAACTTACAGCAACTGAGTCTAGCTATGTCAAACAGGTCAGAGAAGTGATTACACTGAATAATTCTCAGAAGTACATTCATCAAGATTCATTTACACAAATTGGGCAGGTTGAACAGTGTGGACATTTGCCAAATGACAGAAAAGCCAGTATGTAAGACCTCATTTCCCATGACAGTGATTAATTTTAAAACCTTTCTTGTATTTCTAGTACCAGATTTGTGTGATATCTCCTTTTCCTGTAGAACACTGAGAAAAAAAGAGCTAAATATGTAAACCCCAAACTGATAAAGATTCATTATATATGCCTATTCGTGGCCATACAAACTTTTGAGCCCATTTTAAAACATTTGTAAATCTGCCTTTCTCAGCTGTGGAACTGTAGTCCCATTCAAATCTCTCCTCTCCCTCTCAACATTAGCATGCCTACATATTTGGACTTCATGGTGTAATATCTTAGCTAAAGCAGTTAATTTTTTTTTTTTTTTTGCATCAAAAGAATATGCAGGGGGTAAAAAACCTCTCCAATAACCCCCCTGAGAAAGAAACAAACAAATCTATAAGAGGAAAACACCCTTCCAGTTTTGCTTCACATAAATTAAATGCTTCATACAGTTCTTATCCCACGCCTATGAAGAGTGTTTTAAACCTGGTCAGAGAAGTTGAATAGGAAAATAAGACTTTCTGAGTGTGAATTTTAATTAAGGCCATCAGTTACACTGAACCCGGCAATATAGTTCCACAAAAAGAACACCTGCTGAATTTTGAAATAATTCATTTTGAAAGAATTTGCTGATGCCGGATGACAGAGGGTAGTATAGGATGGCAAAACACCAAGATGGAGAGTACATAAATGTAATTGAGGCACAATTCAAATTCTGAAAGGGTCATCTGAGGATATACTCGGACTCATATATGTGTACCACTAGCCAAGAGATTCAGCAACACAAACTGCACACTGATGCAGAGCATGCTATATACTGTATGAGCCAAAGGAAACAAGTTCCTTTCAACAGAAAGGACAAAGTCTCAGCTGTCAGGAATCAACAGCAAAGTGCCACTGACCTCTTTTGGGCCAAAGAACACCCTAAGAAGAACAAAGGAAACTGTACTTACTCTTTTGTTTATGCAAACCAATCAATTAATTCCAGGCACATTGGGACATGTAAACAAAGTAAATGGAGGAAGGTTGCAGTCTGGACCCTGTTCATAACAACCAGACATCAACCAGGTCCGAACAGTCTGAATTTAGATCTAAGCCAAGGAACAGAGTCAGAACTGAAGCAATCTTTTTCTGAGCTACTGAATGAAGGTTTAAATACCGGATAAGCCGTCCAAGCTAATTTTCCCTAATTCCTCTCTATTGCAAAATACCACTAATCTGGTACCACCGATATTTGCTAAGCTTGTCAGCTAACATCTGGAGAGTACCCAGCTTCTGGCTAGAGCAAAGTAAGCTGGTTTTATTCCATCTGTTTGTATGTGATTGCTGACCTATTAAATGTCACTGCTCTGTTGTGCTTGGTTTTAAACTGAGAGACTGTAAGAGTTGTGAAATATTGGTAAACTTGCCTGGTGAAAGAGCCTACGCTGGGTATGCATGCATGGGAGGGAGAAAGGCTGAGCAGCCTAATCTCTAGATATTGGAGAGACTTAAGAAGAAGTCGATACAGAAACCTTTTGAAGGCCAGAGTGCCAAGTTTAAGGACTTGATAAGAAGTTGTCTATGTGCTATACCATGAATTGCAAATCATGCAAAATTGGTTTTGGTAAGACCACAGTTACAGATGGTGGTAGTATTGTAAAATCAATTGATGTTATGATATTTGCTTTCATCAGAAATATTGAAAAAGTCATAGAGTACAAAATTTTTTAAAAGCTTTCTTTATCTGAAATTCAAATGTTATAAAAGAGCTATTCTAAATATTTCTACATGGTGGTTGCATTTACACATGGGTTCCAGAAAAGTGGCTGGAATTGGGTCTTAAATATTATATTAACTTTCTATTCTACATTCTGTTAGAAATACTGCTGCAATGTTATTTAATGATCTAAAGAAATGGAAGAAGACAAGGTTTGTGAGTGAAGAAAATACTTTTTTATGACATTTCATTTCAGATATTCTTTAGGTCTGGTTTATGTGTGCAAAAGCTTGCTCAAAAGTTGGCTTGTGTGTCATTTCTTAAAATAGGAATGTCAGCAGCATCATTTTTAATGGCTCATTAGATCATAGGGGCTACCACAACACAGCCACTTGAAGATGGAAAATAAAGCTGTTACTTGTTGAACACAGGTTAATAAGCACAACACTTCCACCAACAAACAATGTTTTGACTTTGCAGCACTAGTGGCATGACACAGAGTTTTCAATCTCTTTTTTATTTCTTTTCCCCTTACCTTTCAATTCTGAATCACACTGCAATTGCACTGCTGATTGTTAGGCCAGAAGGATCCAAAACCAACTGTTTAGGCTGAGAGCTCTTTTGCCTACCATTTATTTTGGAAAGACACCTTGAAATATTTCTTTCAGAATTGTTGTCCTTCCTATACATACATTCATCACAGTTACAGCTCCACAGTACAGAAATTTTTATTTCCTAAACAGGATTGGACTAGACAGTGGGAACAATGCTGCTGAAGCTGAGAATGAAATGCAACACCTACCAGTGGATCAGAACTGCTGACAAACTTATGTCTCTGAGGCTTACTGGTGTGGGCAGAGCTTCTCAGTGCACAGGATTATTTTAAAAAGACATTTCCCTAAAAAACCCAAACAAACCACAGGCTCCTTTTGCACATCCTCCTACCAGCTGCAGAAACCTACCTATTTGCCTTACTTTGAGAGGCAGGAAAAGCATATATTTAAAATATATTTTTATATATTTTTTGTCTCCTCCTCCCAGCTGCAGATTCCCATGCCACTTTCCTGTTTTCAACTATGACTTCATAAATATAACAAACCCACAGAATATCACATCTTTCACTATGCCAGCTGTACTCTGCCAGCTGAACCCTGTCTCATTTCACCATTCTGCATCATGCTATCATGCTATTCAGTTATATATAAATTATGTAAGTCAACTTTTCCCTTTGCCTCCTCAAGCTGTAAATTCCTCCTTGGTTTTTCCCTGAAGCAGAAATCAGAGCTGCATTCTATTGTTTAAAACTTTTAGTGACAGATATAGTAGTAGATCCAAAATACATGTCAGAGGATTGACTAAGTTCTTGAGTTCTTCTCAATAAGCCACAAGATAATTATAGAAAATCATTTTTGTATTTTGACTTCACATTATCAACTCTGTTATTTCTTCTTGTATAATTTTAGTTGTCTATCTGGGACTGAAAGCTACCAGAAGCAGGCAGCTGAAGTTGCTAGTATAGGAGAAAATGCACAAATAGTACAGTTATACTTACATCTCCCCTTCTGGGCACCATAGCTGGAATGACAAAACCAAGTGTCTTTACTACTTAAAAGAATACTAGGGGAGAGATGGTTGTTGACCAGAATATACTGTGCTGCAGCAGTGCAGGGGAATATGAAAGTCTCTAAAGAGCCCAGGACAATTTAGAGGACTACTGAGTTCCTTTCAGCTCTGCACAGGTGACAGAAGGATATTCAAGCTGTCAAATGACAAAGAAAGAAATGAGAAAGAACGTGGCTTGGCATATCCTCTGTCTATATTTACAGCCTCTATATTCAAACATTGAAGACCAAAAGCCTTGGAAAATTACATGTGGGTTAGCTCTTTCTTGTTGGAGGACCTGCAATGGCACTGAAGGACTTTGATCTCAAGTCCTTGGAAATGAAAGCCAGTCTTTCCAGTTTGAGGGATCTGTCAGTAAAACAAAACTAGAGAATTACCTTCTTTCTTTCAGTTTGCATTCTTATCTTGTCTTTGGTTTATGTCCTGACTAGAACAGACTCTTCTTAAAGGTATTTTACCATCTTATATATGAAAAGAAACTGACTTTTCCCACTATGAGTATAAAAAATTTGATACTACAAATGCCCAAATCACCCTGTAACTTGCTGACAAAATCCTGATGGAATTTGCATTTTCAGGATTCATCCTTCATTTAAGACCAGCACTATAAGAAACAGAAATATGAAAGCAAAGATCAGAAAACTGCTCTTGAGTGATGGAAACGCATACTTAGGAAGAAGAAAACATGTAAGTGTGAGCTCACAAGTCTCACAAGAAGACTCTTGGCTCACAGAAACTGACTTCAGCAGCTCTCTAACAGTTTGTAACAGTGGAGAAGCTGCTTTCAGTGTCTCCTACTTTATTGAATAGCCCCTTTCCTCCTTTGTTTTATCTGTACAGGAGAGTCTTATAGTTCTTTGAAATCAATGGTTGAAAAGCATTACAGACAAGTATTACTTCACTACTTTTTCTGCACAAAGCAGTGGAGTCAGCACAACTTACAAAAGCCAGTCAACAGCAACAAGCAAACTGATATCCTGGGTAGGGAGACCCACTGCAGTAAGGATCAGCAGCATAGTGACAAGTCCCGCGCTGGGAATACTGGCAGCTCCAACACTTGCAAGGGTGGCAGTCAAACTGCAAAATAAAAAATCAAATGGGAGAAGCAGGAAGATACACTTTGAAGATACACTTTCATTGCAAAATCATGTGATCATTAGCAAGGTCATATTTTTAATGAGTTCTTCCCATAAAACAACAACTATATGATAAATCACAGAAAGCTCAGGCCATAGTTTTCACTCTTGTGTTTCTCTAAAAATATTTATTAGGTCAGGTCAGATCTATAGGGTTTGTTCTGAGAGTTGTAAGAGGGTTGTCAGGGAGTTTTAAGTACTGTAAGCTAGCTATGACATTCAAATCTGTGTCCTGGTATTTTCTGAACTCTACCAACACATCCAGGGTTTTGAATTCTGAGTTTTGATCATCCAGACATGATGAAGTTTGGTGATGATGGGTTGAGTTTTCAGGGTGGTTAATTTCTGTTTATTTATGTTACTTGAAGACTGAATTGTGAGTTAAAGGCTGAGAGAAAGTTGTTATTATTAAACACAGAAGAATAAAAGTCCCAGCATCCAAAACTCACAAAATATAAGCCAGTGGTATACCAAGCCTAGATACGAACCACTCTAGATGAAAAAGCAAAATTGATCTGATTCATAAATCCAAACCTGTGTTTGTTTTTGCCTGCTATACTTTGATGAAGGTCAGTAAAGTGAATGTCTGAGCTTCAAAGGCTTGTAAAAATACAACACAGACTATAACAAATATCAACATCATTGGGCAGTCCTATGAAGAATGGACAATAAATTTGTCAGAGAGCTAGTCAAGGGGAGAAAAACATGGAAGAGAAGGAGAAAAGGAAGAGGGAGAGGGAGAGGGAGAGGGAGAGGGAGAGGGAGAGGGAGAGGAAGAGGGAGAGGGAGAAGGGGAGGGAGAGAGGAAAGCAGAGGAAGAGGGAGAGCAAGAGGTAGAGGGAGGGTAAGTAGAAAGGAAAAGTGGACAAAAAGAGATTGAAAAAGGAACAAGAAACCAGGAAAGAAAAAGTTATATCTGTGTTTTTAAACACAGAGATGAGTAACATGGTTGCACTTCTGTGGGTGGACCCAACAAATCTGAAAGTGCTTCCAATACAGAAGCAGGGGAGAACAGACTCTGTGGGGGAAATCCTGGACCATTAGCCACAGAACTAATCTGTGAGCATGTTAGCCTGATTTAGAGCTGGCAGACGCTGGCTGGCTCAATCTGATCCAGTTGACAATCCAGGGTGCGGTGTGTTTGTCAGGTGCTTGGGTTAGAGTGCAACTTGGCCTGCTAAACACCAAGATAGGTCCAGCAGGTATGCAGGCAGGATGCTCTGCTCTGCTGTCAGGCTTTGCATGCAATGCCAGCTCCTCAGGCACTTCAGCCTAAACTGGTGAGGGATTGCTTCCAAACTCTGTGAGGAAATGCTCCTGCCAACCTTCCCACAGCAGCACTTACAGACCTGGAAGGGAATAAAGCTAGAATTGTTTAGGACTACACAGAATCTGGCTTAGCTACAATTTCCAAGATTATCCTTTCCCAAAAAATACAGGAAATCAGAGGAACTACATGACCAATATGAAGTAACTATGGCTGGTCAAAGGCTAATTAAACCTTCATGATTTTATGTCTGGATCATTTGAATATTCTCAATATCACAAAGTGGATTGTTAAAACCTAATAACCTTCACTTCATTTGTATTATCTCCTCAAGAGATAGTTCTTGTCATATTGCTGTAACAAAAATGCTACACTGCATGAAGAGGACAGCCAGTGGTTTTCGTACAGATAGACCAAAGTTGCTGCCTGCTTTGTAAATGTGAGTATCACAGCTGGCTACATCAGCCTTGAAATGGTGAGATCAAGAAGAGCCAATTGGTCGAGTCTCAGAAGGGGAGAAGAGGAGTAACTCGGGCTCAAGCCTACCAAATCCCTTGGACAGTAGCAGATTCCTAACTCGAAATTCCCTCATCTTAATTTAGTTAAGTACATGGCATCTCTGAAATGTCTGTTTTTAGTTTTAGGAACAAATATGCATCATGCAGGTCTAGCATCTGCCTTTATTATAAGCAACCCTGAACCTTTTACAAATCTTGGTTTTACTATTTCAGGGGTTGGGGCAGGAAATAAAGAAATGGAAAATGTGGAGCTAGTATAGCTGGGCAAGAAACATAGAATTAGATATCCCTTTGCAGGAATTTCTTTAGACTTAAAAGGGTTTAATAAAAGAAAAGTGTGTGGGTGAAAACTACAGGAAGAAGGCAGACTTGACAGCCTTCACTTGCGGTTTCCATTTTAACTATTCAAAATGTTAGACCTACTGTCTTCATTAAGTTTAAACTCCCTTAGAGTAAACAGTCTTCAATCACTCTTATCCTTTTTTAATGGGTACTTTCTTTTGTCCTCACAGATATTCAGTTTAGTCCTAGATAAGACAATTTGATATGAAAAGACTACAGTTAATATTTGCTGGGTTAGAGATAAAAGGTCTGCTAGTATCCAAACCATGCCACAGGCAATCTCACCATCAGGATGGGCTACTCTCAGTTCATTTGTTTTGTCTGTTCACTGAAGTCACAGAAAAAGTACAGGTAAACATAAATATATGGACAGATATTTTAGATACACTTTTGTCTTCCGTGTATATAAACACATACATTCTAGAAAGTATATGACTTGTAGCATCCCTCTACACTAAAAAAAAAGCATTGCATTGGACAGAGAATGCTGTATACTACAATTGACATTGTATCCTGGGCTGGTTTTGGCTGGGGTGGAGTTAGTTTTCTTCACAGTGGCTGGTAGGGGGCTCTGTTTTGGATTTTGCTGAACACGGGGTTGATTAATACAGAGATGTTGTTTTTGCTGAGCAGGGCTTACACAGATCTAAGGCCTTTTCTGCTTTTCCTACTGCCATGCTGGAGAGGCAATAGAAGTGCATGGGAGGCTGGGAGGAGACAAGGTCAGGAGAGATGACTCCAATTGACCAAAGGGATATTTCAGACCATAAGACATTGTGCTCAGTCATGAGGGGAAGAAGGAAGAAGGGAGGACGTTTGAAGTGATGGCTTTTGTCTTCCCAAGTAACAGTTCCACCTGATGGGGTCCTGCTCTCCTGGAGGTGGTTGAACACCCACCTGCCCATGGGAAGCAGTGAGTTAATTCCTTGTTTTGCTTTGCTTGTGTGTGTGGCTTTTGCTTTCCTTATTATCTTTATTTTCCTATTATTCCCTTTATCTCAACCCAGAAGTTTTGTGGCTTTTACCCTTCTGATTTTCTCCCTGATCCCACCAGTGGGGCAGTGACCAAGTGGCCACGTGGCTGCCTGGGGTTAAACCATGGCAGCTGTCAACTGCAAAAGTGTAAAACAACACCGGTGTGCATCAAAGCTGCAAATGATAGAAAAGGCCTGTCACCACAGAACCAGGACCTATGTACAAAACATTCATTTGCATATCATTATTAAAAATCCATGGATTTTATAGTGAATCCAGTAGCTGAGAAAACATCCAATCCAAAGCACACACATTTTACAGTCTGTAGAAACAAAGCCTAAGAGCATTTTTGAACTGACCTCACAGTAACTATCTGGCCTCCATCCAGGTCAATTCCATTCATCTGTGCTATGAAGATGGCAGCCACAGCTTCATAAAGGGCGGTTCCATCCATGTTAATAGTTGCTCCAACAGGAAGAACGAATCTTGTTACACGCTTATCAATGCCGAGATTTTCTTCAAGACACCGGAATGTGACAGGTAATGTTCCAGCACTGAAGGAGAGAAAGTAGAAAAGTAAAGAAAAGATAATTACAATCAATATAACACATACCCATAAGGGAGCAAAGTCAGAAATACTATTACCATCGTTCACATTTTCTACATCCACTTTCTGCTGTGATTCAACCCTTTTTTAGATGATTTTTTAATTAAACCTACATTTAGCTGGAAGTGGGACTGAGGCCAAAACATGAACATGACTTGAAGCAGCATGAGAGCTTGAGAGAGCGTGGATAAATTTTTCAGACTCATTTACAATTTATTTCTTGTATTTTGTTGAAAAATACAAGTACCAGATGTTTTCTGACAGACAGACCTAAGAGTACAGGGACAAGTCTTAAATTCCTTGATTGTGAATTTGCTCTAGAGGGAGAAATTTGTATGACATTAAGGACTGAAAAAGCTAGGCAAAAAGATACAAACCATGTTGTACCACTGGAGGACAGGAAGAAAGGACATGAAATACATCTGGAGGACAGGAAAAGATGCAAAAGATGCCTGGAAGAGGGGAACAGCTCTTTGCACAGATTCACAGTGCTTTGTTTTTGTGGGAATATTTCTGTCTATTACATTCACTTGCTCAAAATACGACACCTTCATCAAAAAATACTGTTGAAGTGGAAACTCAAACACTTCAATGAACAAAAGCCTTAGTTAAATTGTAATTTACTAAAACTTCTGGTCAGACTATATCTCCTATAATTCCATATTGTTTCACAGAGCCATAGAATTGCTGCAGTTGGAATGTATCTCTAGAGGTCACCCATCCCACCCCCCTTGCTCAAGGCATGAGCAGCCACGGCAGGTTTCCCAGGACCATGCTCAGACAGGTTTAGTGTATCTCAAGGAATGGAGACTCCACAACTCCTCTGGGCAACCTGAGCCAGTATTCACACACCTTCATAGTAAATCACAGTAAAAAGAGTTTTCTTGTGTTCAGATGGAATTTCTTGTGTTTCAGTTTGTGCCCACTGCTTCTCTTCCTGTCACTGAGCACCACTGAAGACAGTCTCACTTTATCTTCTCTACACTGTCCCATCAGACATTTATGCACACCACTAAGGCCCTTCCAGAGCCTCTTGTTCATCACGGGAGAAGTTATTCAGCACAGTGGTTTGAGTAGACCCAAAGAGGCAGATGAATTACAGTTCTTCCAAGGTATTCTTGAAATCAAGAGTGCTCAATTTTCTGGTGGTCAGCTTTGAACTTGGCTTTTTGATTTTCAACTTTTTAATTAAAATGGAAGATAAATTTTTCTTCAGAAATAAAACATTTATTGAAGAAAAACATTTTAAGATATGGTATTTAACTGAAAAATAATTTCAACACAAGATCTACTAACCGCCCCAATACAAAGCACCAATCTTTGATTTTATTGTATTACTGAAAGCTATGTTGCTTACACACTTTGTTGTGCCTGTTCTGTGCATTAAGAACAAGTCTAAAATGTTCAGCTTTTCAATGGAGTGCCATTACTCTGCCAAAATGGATGAAAGAACAAACTGAGAGGTTTTATCATTTCTCTCTTGAAACCTAGCACTGTTTGATTTTGGTTGGTTTTGGGTTTTTTTCTTGAATGCAATGAGACTGGTCTTAACATGCTTTCAAAATAAACAGAATTATCACGTTTTCCTGGCTGAGAAAACAAGCACAGAGTTAACACAATTTGCACAAGTCATTTGGTTAATACCAGAAAAGAAAAAAAGGTAGCTTTACAACCTCTTTAAAAAATCCTGAAGACATGCGGTATTTTGATTTATTTCAACATGGCTGGATTCAAAGTAGTTTTTATTCAATGGCATAAAATGATTTTTGTAGTGAAGGTCAGAACAGCGGATGTATTATGTCTAAACAGCAGCTAATAATCGGCTAGAAAATAAAGCACACTGGTATTTCTCAAGTGTACCTGGAAGCTGTGCCTAGTGCTGTGATCCATGCCTGGAAAATCCCAGCAAGGAATGAAAACGGGCTTTTCCTTGTTATCACAAAGTAGAGCAGAGGCAGGAAGATCCCTCCATGGATGACAAGACCCACAATCACAGTGACCATGTACATGCCGAGTTGTCTAGCAACTACTTCTAAGTCCTTGATGGCAATGATTTTTCCACAGATGAGGCAAGCAATACCCAAAGGGGAATACCTGGAAAAAGAAAACAAGCATAGACAGAACTAGTCTTTGCAGCGTACTCATAAAAACCGTGCTCAACATAGTACAGACTGGAGAAAGAGTAGGGAGCTCTGAAGCTCAATGCTGAGGTGCAGATCAGGAATTGAATAGAAATTCAATGTATAGTTTTCACATCTTTTTCAAAAATAATGTCCATCTCCAGTGAATTCCCCATCTACTTAATTTTTCATCCCATCAAATGGAATATGCATTTCCTGAATAGTTTTGCATCCTGGAATAACATTGTACAAGGATACTACAATGTTACTCAGGCTTGGATCATTACAAAGAGTGGTGTAGATTTGTTCTTAGTACATAAGTTTTACAACCCATTGTTTATATGGTTTCAGGGAGTTGCATTATTTACTTCAGATAAACTATTTGTTGGAATGAACTGCTTATATCTTGAAGGCTACAAATGTTTCCATTATGTTCTTTCAATAATTTGAACAAATGCTTTTTAGTTTATGGATTCTTCATTACTTACGTCCTTTTGTTACTTTGGGTAGGGGTTTTGTCCCCTTAATCATGTGATTTCCTGAAGACATAAATGGAACTTTTGAATAGGATGATAATGGTAGCACAGATTGGGAACAAAAAAAAAATTGAAATGAATGGATATTATTTAAAATACTTGATAATCAGCTATAGTGAAACATACTTGAAAGTACATGGATAGAAATCAATATTTATACCTGCACTGGTAAAAGTTAGTACATTATATAATTTTAAGTGAGATTCACCTTCTCTATCTCTTTTATAAAAATTGGGAGAAAGTAATGTAATGTGGAGAGAAAAAGAATACCTCTTTCAAAATAAATGATAATGCATATTTTCAAAGGTGATTAGTGATTTGGATGCTTAATTAAAGACAATACAAAGGAAACTGACTTTCAGAATAAAAGTGCTTCTTGTTTTCTGTTAGAATATCTCATAGTCTCTCAAACAATGTGCCCAAAACATGGAAAGCCCTCAATCACTTGAAATGCAAGGCCAGCTGTTATACCAATTATCATACAATGCCACATTTCAGTGAACTTGACGAAATACAATTCTTATAAAGAATTACACACTGTCAGAGCCCGATGTCTGATTTGTTTTATGCTTGTGTAGCAATGCCATGCTCCTGAGGGTTTGTAGGTGCCACGGGAGTTACAGCTGTCTGTGCAGAGAAATCATAAATCAAACAAAATGTAACTCTGCATAAAGAAGTGTATTTTGCTTTATAAAGACACATAAAAACCCCTTGCTTCAGGCCACAATTCTTTTAAAATTCTAGACAGAAATGAACAAGGGGAATTCCTAACATCAATTTCAAACAAGTGGAATTCCCAACATCAATTTCCTTTTCTCATGAAAAGAGAAACAAAAAGCAAATCAGTAAAAAATTAATATTTACAGTGAATTTCTTGAAATTGGAATGATTTCCTGCCACTACAACACTGACTACTAGAGAAAATTTATATTGTAGGCAGGGTATTATGTCTTGGGTCTACCAGCTGGTGCTAAGTGAAGTAAGAGTAAATTCTAGCTTCTGGAGTGAAGTATAAACTCTCTCTCTCTAGAGTTGAGACCACCAGGTTAAAGTAAATATTGAAAGCTTTGTGAATAAAAAAACCTGTAGTTTTATGCAGCAAGATCATCTACAGGAAAGCAGAAGCATAACAGGAATGCTTTAAGTTATTGCTTTAAGTCATTGCTTTAAGTTCTTTCTTTTATTCTGCACATTTCCACGTTGTTGTTACTATCTGCATCACTCTTGCATAACAGTCTCCCTTTGAAACAATTGATGATGCTGAAGACTCGCGCTTCAGGCACCCTGCTCTCTTTTCTATAAACTGTGCCCATCTAGAGTTTCAGAGAAGAGGCCTTGTAACTCAAGAAATCACTTCCAGGAACACCAGGGAATCACAGGCAGCAATGAGCCATGATACATGGAGTGGCTATTTCTGCTCTCAGAGACCTAGGAGATATGAAATGCAGTAGTACAATGCCAAACATACCAACACATTTTTATGTTCTGAAAAATTGTTTTTGTGTGATATGGCCATGCTTGGCACTGCATACAAATAGCTCTGGGGAAGTCCTTGGAAAAACACCTCAAAAGAAAAAAGAAAGGGGAAATCCCTTACCAGAAGTAAACAATGGCTCAGTCTTAATTTGGTAAAGTCAATTCTAAGTCAGGCCCCATTATTATGAATGGGTACACTTCGAAAACAGGACAGATATATTCCAGTGACCCCATTACAGCAAGGTTGTAAGACACAGGTTCTGCAGAAACTATGAGTGGAGGGACTACACATCACTGAAAACTACTGGAATGTTATTTGGTGGCAAAATATTTTTATTACAGAAAACAGTAAATAGTGTGTGTGTGTCCAGGCTTTTTTGTACTTGTACTTGTACTTCCAAGGTAATATCCTGGGATTATGCTAACCTCCCAGGAAGATTGGGATGTTCTTATGTGGGGCATTCTTGCTTGCTTAGGTGTCCTTCTGTGTAATGAACTTCCATAACCAATGTGGCATTTGAAGGCCTTTGCTGGTACATGTATGTCTTGTACTTCAGTAAATGAAGACCAGAGTATCTTCAGAAATATTTCAAATTGGGTACTAAATAATCCTCACTAAATAGAAATACTGCTGCTGTGGCTATGACATACCTGTCAAGGCTTTAAAAAGTCAACTAATTACATTGTTTACTAACAAACTGTGATCACTATATGCTATATTAAGGTTTTATGAGGGCTTCCTTAAAATCATTTTTTGTTCTATAAGTTAGGACTTCAAACTTACCACATGATCATAGTTACTAACTTCATTACAATCTCATTCAGGATGTTGAAGAAATCCACCATCATCTTGGCCTGGTCTCCCATTTTCCCCATAGCAATGCCAAAAGCAATAAAGAATCCTATCAAACCTATCAGGAAAAATGGCAAGACAAAAAAAAAGGCACATAAGCCCACGGTTTTTAGGAGTTTTTTGCACCTAGTCAATGTCTTGGTACTACATGCTGATGAGACTTCACAGAATGAAAGAATGGGTGAGTTTGGAAGAGACCACAGTAGGTCATCTGGTCCAACCTCTCTGCTTAAGCAGGGTTGTCCTAGAGCACATTGCACACGATTTCAGAACTATAGGATATTACATGTATTGGGATTTTTTAAATATTTACTCACTCTCAGCTACCATAATCAAATTCAGAACATCTTTGATTCTTCAATATTTTACTAAATTCCAACTTCACAGCCCAGCTATGATTTTATTGGTGTTTTTTTCCTGAATTAACCTGATCATCAAAAAGTACGTATATAATAATCTTCTCAGCGCCATGCAACTATTAGAAACCTCATAAGCCCTGGTGAATGGGAGAGGTAACACACTGCTATATCATAACTCTGTTGTTAAAACAGTTACTAGAAACCGAGTGTTTTTCTCAGGCTTTACAAAAGTCCCTTGACAGATTCAAACTACAGTCTAGTGAGTCCTGGAGTGCAGGGAAAGGCAAAAGTAGCCCTGAACATAACTTTTGCAGTCCAGGAGTATTCCAGCTAAATGAAGAAGCTGGAGGTAGGAGTAGAAGGTAAGTATTCCATTTTAAGCTTAGCCACAGTACTCCCAATAAACAGAATAATTTCACTGGAACAGGCTATCAGTGGATACAAAATCATACCATTCAATACGAGTAACATTTGGCTCCTAAATTTAAATGCTAAGGTGTGAATATCTGGAGTATTGGACTATCATTGTGAAAAAACAACAGAGTGCATCTGTCATGTATTACTTTGGAGCTGTGTCTTCAATGCTAACCTTTTCCATCCAGCAACTTTCAGTGGCCAGAGTCAGATTATTAATCGATACTGACAGATGGTTTGAATCTTCTTTCATCCTTTGAGGGTAAATTTTCATTCATGATATGACTTCAGTATTTAACAAATGTGTAAACAGCAGGGAAATTCCTAAGGAAAAACCTACCACGACTCAAAACCATTCAAGAGAAGGGAATTTGACCTACAAATATGCTGGGAAAAGACAGGCTGTTCCATACCCTCACAATGGATTTAGTAACCAGATTTTTTTCTTTTTTTTTTTTTTTAATCCAATTTCCTGGATGTAAAGTCATTCTTTAGAACCAAGTTATCTCCGTTGAGTCACTTGAATAGGGAAGTGAAGCATATATTTGTGTGCCGCAGAGCGTAAAGAAATAATTAAAAGCTTTTCAGATACCAACTTACTTCCTGGAATTCAGAATCTGCATCAGAAAATGTTAGTAGGCAGGTTTTTCTCTTCGTTAATTCCAAATGAACTGTTGTGTTAGTCATAAGACTAAGATTGGTTCATATTTGCAGGAATTTGCCTGGCTTGTACAGTTTATGCAAACTGGATGGCAATTCCCCAACATTTTCACTTCTTCATTCAAAATCGAACCACACCAAACCAAACAAAAAACTCTGCAACATTTGAGAGTTATTGGTCAAAACACCACAGAAAATCCCACTCCTAAACTGTATATTTATTTTCTGTAGGAATTGTATTCAGCCTTCTAGATCTTTTCTTATCCATGACGAGCCTACACAAAACAAGTCTAGCATTAAATATAGTGATATAGTGCATCCCTCATGTCAGAATGGTTGTTTCATTTTAATGCATAAGCAAAGGTCCAGGAGAGAGGAAAGCAGGTGATGGTAACAGCAGAGGCAATGAGCTTCTGACTCACACATGGTGCAAAATGCCAACTCACAGCTTTGAAAGCAAGTGACGACTCTGCCCACAGATGCTGAATGCAAGGAAGAGCCATGAAAGCAGGCAGGACACAGTGGCTCTTGTGGAGCAGGCTGCTTCATAGACAAACAAGACCAGCTTATTGATACTACCATCTCCCCTATGTCTAAGCAAAGCAGCCACTGCCAACCAACTCACCAACACCTAAAGAAGCTCTGCAGACACAGCAGCCACTGTCAGCAGGATCTGTTCATCAGCTGTAAGGAGTCTGTAAAGGGTCATTTGCTCTTAAAAGGTTATGGTCTAGTGGCGAGAGAAAGCAGCAGATTAGGTACTGCCACATACTATCCCACTTTGAGGACAGTACACAGGTGTCGGCCTCAGCCCTGCGGACATGCTGTCACAGAGTAGCTTCAAGAGTAGGTGTGCCAATGAGGTTACAAATTGAGAGCTAATTTGTGACTGACTTCACCCACATCCAGAAAATAAAAAATTGAAGGAGGAGCTCTCCTCTTTGGGCTGACAAAATAGTGACTCTAGGCACAGAGGAGAAAATAGAAGTGGTGTGCCAGCTGTTTGTTTCCCGTGAGCTCCTGCCCCAGTCTGAACAGTTGTTTCAGGAATGGGTGGGAGATAGGCAAAGTCTTCCTACCTCCCCCACTTGCTGGCTTGTCCAGACAAGATGGCTTGATGGCATTTGCAGCTGGTAAAGGTCAGCAGCCAAGATGAAAGGAGGGAGTTGTGACTCAGAGATGTGTCAAGCCTTTCTGGGATTTTTCTTGGGTGGTGTGGTTCACACCCCACCTCTCACTTCAGGCTCTGCCTCAAGCCAAATTATTTCAGCATGCCCAAGACACCTACTGGAAACAACTTAGCTCAAATTCATCAGCGGGTGTGTGAAGCACTGGCTCTTGAAGCTCTCCCCCATGCTGTTTTGCCAATATGCATTAGTATTAGTCTAGATTGGCTTCTTCTAGGATGAAAGGGTATTTTGGGTACCTCCTACATGCTTTGCTACTGTACTCCAACTCATAACTGCAAAGCTGCCAATACAGAACAATCCACTTGATTGTTTCTGTGATATACTCATCTCAGAGACCAATGGGCAGCCAGTAGGTGATAACACTTGATGATTATTTGGAGGGACTAAACTTGCACTGAAGAGCAGATCTGACAACACTGATCAGTCACAGCAAAAAGCTGTGTCATACATATGAGGTACGTATTTGACAGGCAAAAAACTTTCCTACCCAGGACATTCATGCCATCCTTAAATTCAAGTCCCTTCTTAATGACCAGTTGGGCTTCAGGTGGTGCTGTCTCATTCACCATAGCCAAAGCAGAATCAGTGACATTAGGTGGCTCTTCAATGGGTGGTGGCACCAGCACTCTCTTGGTGACAGTTTGGATCTGAAGGCAATAAAGAGGGAGGATGAGAATGGAAACAGATTGAATACAATCCATATGATAAATAAGGAAATAATAATAATAAAAACAGTCTGCACTTGAAATTCCAGGAAATTATATTTTGAAAGGATTAGACATGGTATTCCACAGTCTCTTATCCCTCTTCCAAAACTAAGTTTATTTTTCAATAGTTGAAAGTGTTACAAAGTCCCGGGGGTCTTCTTCATGACTCTGGTGTGAAAAACATGGCAAATATTCGTTCTTTACCACTACAGTGTAACATTTTACAGACAGTTATTTCCTTTGTCCAGATGGTTCACAAAGGGTGCTTCACAGACTGCATGTTATATGTTGATACCATTAGTTCAGCACCAAAGGCAAGAACATCTAAGATCAGTCATGGCAGGAACTCTGCAGTAAGGTTTGTTATTCAGGTCTGCCCAGCTCAAAAATTTAAGAATCAAAAATTTAAGACATTTCCAACACTTCTTTTACAGCTTTTGAGCTCTTGACTGCAAGAGCTCAAAATGGAATATACAGTCCCTCGAGCTCTCTAATTAAAATATTGTGAGCGACAGATAACAGAAAAATTATCAGTGCTCCCAGACAGAAATCTGACCACCTCATAAAAAGAAGACATCAGCATCTGAATGGATTTAGACCCTTCTGGCACATGAAAGGCAGGGTCAAGGGAAAGCTGGGAAGGAATGCTAGGTGGAGAAATGGGCTTGAGTTTACAGCTAGGTAAAAAAAGCAGGAGGGAGTGGAAAGAGAGAGATCTGTGACTTGCTACTTTTAGAAGGGATGTTTTCCTCCCACTTCACATCTTCACCATTTTCTGCCTCTTCATGGCTCTGGGACAGGCAAAATGGTTTGGACACTGTGACTGCCTTGCCATGTTTTCCCACCCGCTCCCTACTTTTCTTGTTCCTAGAAACACATTTGAGCAAGGCAAGAGAAACGGTGCATTAGCCTTTGAAAGTACACTTGCACCTCTCTCCTGTTGAGATGAACATTGAAGTACTACGGATGATGATCCAGATTCAATCCATATAATTAAAACCTTATGGTTTTAAAATATCTTACATCCCTCCTTTCAAAACCTGCTGTTTAAATCTGGAGAGGAGGATATAGACAGAAAGCCTATGTAGCTTTGCACAAGAAAAATGCTTTGGTTGTCCTTAAACAACCCAACATTCTTGCATGTTTATATTTTTGTCAGAGTTCATCTGAGGGATGCTGTCAACAATATTTTTTTATGTGAGGTATTCAGAATGTAAGAATTGAGTCACAGAAATTAAAACTATGCATACTCTCAAATTTCACTACAGTCACTTAAGTAAAAGGTCTTCAGCACTTCTTTGCACAAGGCCACGGTCACTAAAAATGCTGAATCTAATATAAAGCTTAGATTCTGACAACAATGTCTGAGGCTAGAAACACCATTAAAATGTCATAGTCATATTTAGAGATGATAGTGTCATGGTTTTTCATGGCACATGAAGTCTTATCTCTGCTGGAATAGCAATTTTCATTTTAAATTAAAACTTTCTAGTGGATCATACTAAAATTCAGGAGAGATTGAAATCCAACGATGATTCAGAGTCCAGTTTGTAAATGAACTGTTTCAAAACTGCACATGAATCTCTTCATCGCTTTCTGCCCGGTCACAGTGGAAGGCATATTAAACTCCCACACACACTGTACAGCACCACTGTTGCACACCCTTCAGAACCATTCTTCTCAGGATTACTGCAAAACACTTCTTCCTCCTAAGGCAACCTAGAAACACTGAATGATTACGGAAAGAGGCTGTATAAATGCAGGAAGAGAAAATATATGCTGACACCATTAAAAGTAGTTAATTTTCCTCCTAGAGAGAGATTCAAGTAAAGCCTAACTCCTTACTGAGGAGTTAAGGGCTAAGAGAGGCACAAGTTCCATCTAGAAAGGAGCGTGACCTACTTTGCAAAAGAAATGTGGCTTTGTGGCAGAGGTTTTCACTAGCAATTAGTTTGGAATCTGATAAAATCTAATTTTGGAAAGTAAAAAACCTCAGAAGTTTTTTTGACTAAATTGAAAAACGATCAGGGAAATGGTGATCCATAACTAGAGAAGTGACCTGAACATTGGAATTACACACACTGAAAAAACAGTATTAAGGTTTTAAGAAAACTATCTGAGACAGGTAGCTTAATTCTACTTTCCACTGGTTTTTGCCCCTCTGTTGAGATATTTGATCAATTTCAAGTGACCAGAAATTCTCTCTTCCACAGCTCGAACAAGGGGAAGGAAAAAAAAACCATAACCATCCTGCTTTCCCTCACTTAATTTTGCAGAAATACATTTCACATTACATGTCATGTTTAGCCACCAACAGTTTGACCACATGACTGACATTCCCATGATGATTTGGAAATATTGAGAATGTTCTCTTTCTAAATCCCCAAAGATTATGTGTTTTTATGTGGAAGTCCATGTAAGAAGTGAAGTAATCCAAGCCCTTTTGGCAGCTTAGATTACCCTCCATTTTCCCACTCCCCCATGGCCTGTTCTCCCTTCCCCCTCTTCACTTTATTCTTTGGCCATAACCACAGCACCAGCAACCATGCCATTTCACAAAGGAACACTTAAAACAGGTTTGACAACAAATCCTGTTACATCAAAAAAAACCAACAAAAAACCCCACCAAAACAACAAACCAAAACAACCCTGAAACCAAAACCTGTCTGCATTACTTCCAAGCAATTCAGTTGTAGGAGAAAAGCAGCTTACACACCAAAAATACACTTAAGCAGAATTTAGGAAGCATACATTTTTCTTTTATTTTACCTTTCAAAGGAAAGCTGTTTTGATTAGGCATTGGTGAAAAGCTTTTAGATAAAATCATCTAATTATCTACTTACAGAGCAAGTAACACATGGGGTAAGCATCTTTCTTTCCCAGAATGCTCCAAACCTGGTGTGGTGGAGCCACCTGTAGGGTGGTCAGCCACTTGGCTCTGTTATCTCCACCTAGTCTGAACTCTAACAAAGCATTAGAGGTTAAGAGAGGTTGTGTTTCGGGACTGGCAACCAGCTGGAATGAATATCATCCATGTATTCCAAACAGGGCACTGCAGAACCATCAGCTCTGCAACTAACAATGAAGATCAAATTCAACCTGGGTCAGAGATCAGCCCTGGGCCAGCTTTCATGACCACAGATACTGTATAAAAAGCACAAAAAAAGTTTACTTAATAACAAAACAAAAATCATCTTCTTTAAAAAAGCTCTATGAATTTAAATAACAACTACAACCAAAGCAGCTATAAATAATGTTCTTTCATTTACCTGCTCAAGACTTCAGACCTGTATTCCTCTTTGCATCATCTGATTCACCTAAACAATGACATTAACTCTACAGAAAGCCCTGGTAAGTGAAAGATGTGAAGAGTCTTACCAAGGAGTAGAAGGATTTACCTGCTGAAAGCATGCTTGAACTAGATTTTCAGGGAACAAGTTTCGGATCAAATCCAAGAAAGCATCCAGACTAGATACTTCATCATTCTTCTTCCCTTGACCAAGCTGTTTCTTGAGTTTCGGATTCCCTGGATGGATGGCTAAAACCAAAATCACACCCAGCACAGCAGCAATAATAGTGGTGGACATGTAGTAGACCATGGCTCTTGTGCCCAGTCGGCCACTTGCTTTAGCATCTAAACCAGACAGTCCTGCAGTTTTATTTTAAGAAACAAACAAATATATTGACACTCAATATCCAATTCAATAATTATAAAATAAAAACCTTTATCATTTTCAAAGTTTAGTGACTGTCTACAGGTACTTACTTTTGTTCTAGTGAAATTCTCACCACTAGACAGATTCTCCCTATAGTTCTTATGTGAGCAGCGTCTACTGCTAATAATTTATAGAGAACCATTTAAGATCCCATCTAATTGCAGACATTGCAGGCATTGAAAAATAGAGAAGATATCAAACCATTTTTTGCCCTTGATTGCTGCAAACTGGTCATGGTCTGCTTGACACCACATCTTCAAGAAGGCTATGCTTACTAGTGTTATGCCATCTTATTTGCAAGGTCCAATCCAGGAATTATATCAAACGGCATATTAAGAAATTTCTAATAGTAGTATGTGTGTGTGTGTTTGAAATGAAATTCACTGGAGCATATACATATTAAAACCAACTAAGTTATTCAGAAATTAATTCTAAAATACACACCTGCAAAATACTGACAGGATCACACTACTGTTCTTCCTACACCACAAAAAGCAAACAAGGTGATATCTGTAGAAAGCATCTTAAAGTATTTATGGCTAATAGATCTTACCTGTGATTAAACTGGAGATAATTAAAGGGAGGATCAGCATTTTTAGCATCCGCATAAGTATATCTCCTGGGAAGGCTATTAACATGATGATGTCAGGGTCAATAGGTGTTGCTAGACGAAGAAGACCCCCACACACTGCACCCAGGATAACACCTGGGAAAATAATAACAAAAAAGAGCAGGTAAGTAACTTAAGTATAGCTGAACGTGCATTGATTATCCAGAGGAACAGCCTAGAAGAAAAATGGTTACACAGGGCAGCTGATCTTTGGTACAACACAGACTTCGGAAGGGAGGGATAGTCAAATGTAATTCATATAATCGTTCTACAGCTAATAAAATTGAGGCACCAAGAGGTGGAGTGATTTATATAAGTCCATACAGAACTGACAGAGGAGTCAGGGTTAGGATCCAGCTCTTCGGAGTACAACATTTAGCTCTCAACATAGAAATGGTACCACTTGAAGATAGGGTCAGCATGAGTAGCTGTTCTACAGTCTAAGAAAAACCCTGCAGGTTTAGGTAAGGTAGAATAGTCCCGTAAGGAAAATACACTGAAGTTGCATTTGGGGCACTTTGGAACAGAGTGCCTGATCTGGAATACTGCAGATATCACTGAAGAATACTTGATTCTTGGGACTCACATATTACTCTATTCTTTCGATGGTCTGCATCCTTCTCTTTGTGCTAATGTTCTCAAATCACAAACAATCCCTTCATCCATCTCTTATGTAGATTTCTACAGTGATAGCACCTAAACCTCCCTTTCAGGACTGAGGCTGTTAAAGCATAGTCTAGGGGGAAAAAAGGCCATGTTTACTTCCATAACATGGTCTTCATGAATGGGCATTTTATGTTTACATCCAGGATGCCTTTGTTTTCCTGATTCCAAGCCCACGCCTCAAGTGTAATAAAACTCGGTAGCAAAGCCTGAGTTATGATTTGCAGCAACTATGACTCTTTGAAGTATCCGTTTGATACAATGAAAAATATATGTGTATTTAAAACTTTTTTTGGAACAGCATCAGGTACCTTTTAAAGATGACTCTAAGCGAACACTTCAACAGCACGGAGTTTTGCAGGCTGAAAATATGGACGTGACATTTGCAGCTCAAGATCAGTTGCAGCTGGTCTTTCAAAGAATAACACAATAAGAATAAGTCTACAAATTTGCTGCATTTGGCTGTTGGGCTTCCAGTGAAAAAGAAACAGGCAAAGAGCCAGTGAACCACAATAAAATGTCAAACTGTTCTGTATTTGGAAGCTGCTAAAGCCAGAGGCAATATTCAGGATGAGATCATGGAGCGCTGGCTTACAGCTACAGAAAGGGAAGACAAAACTTAAAAGCAGTGGAGTGTAAACTGAGAGATAAAAGATGAAGGAAAGGAAATTTTAAAAAGTTTTTGTCTTTTTTTTTTTTTTTTCCAAATCACTGAGAGCAAAGATGTGTAGTGCATTTAGTTCTACTGAATGACATTGAACTGACTGGCTTTGGGGCTGAAATCACAGTCCATTCAAAACCAGACATATTATGTATCTCTGTGGTGTGGATTTGCTCCATGCTGTGTCAGTAACACCCTGCACACCTGACTTAAAGTGACAATGTCCATGGGCATTGTTCAGCTGGAACAGCTGATGACCTCAGACAGGGACTGTGGTGCTACATGAACAAATACAGATACACACAGAGTGTCCAGACCAGAGGATGTAGCTTACCAAACACAGTAAGAGTCAGGAGCAGATTCCTGTGGAGCGACTGGCAGAACTGCACACATATGTTCCCGGATCTGTGCTCCACTGGATTTAAATGACTTTCATGCATCCGGACTTCTACTTGCTTAGGCATATTGTTGGCACTAGAATAAAAAGTGAAAATCAAGTAAAAGTTATAGCACAAGATGCCAAAAGAGAGGGGAAAGTCTGGATTGCTTCCATCATATATAACTGGGGAATCTGACGCATAATCCATCGCCTCCCACATTTCATAAACACTGCATATTTACTGCTCTAAAGAAGTCTCTGAAATGGCAGTGGTGCCTTTATGGCATTTTAAAGGTGTAGTCTTTATGGTATTTTTTGCAGTTATTTCTCAAATGCTAGAGATGTAAACAAAATTAATTCACTGGACACATCATTCTAAATGTTCCATGGACTAAACTACTGGTTTGGAGCTGGAAAATTCATTTTCCCCAAAGACCGTGGCTGTTTACTTAAGTAGAAGAGATGGTAGAACAACAAAGATTCTGTTAGCAGGAAAATGCAAATTTTAATACCTTATTTAATTCCAATTCAGAATAATAGTTTAAAATTGAGGATTTATTTGCAAAATAAAGCATTCAAGAACATTTTGCTTAATCTTTCAAAAACATTTAATTTTAACATTAATATTTTATTGTAATGTAATCAGAATGCTGAGGTCAAAAGAATATTTTTAACTTGGTTGTAATGAGACTTGAACAACTGCCACTGAAAATTAGTCAAAAAACTATGCATTCCCTAAGAAAATCTTTGGTTTTATTGAATTGGCAGTGGTTAGAGGAAAAATTTTTTTCACTAACTCTGGTTTATATTTGAGTAAGTGATATGCACAGGACTGCAGGACTTCAGAAGTCATGCCTCCAACTTTCTCAATGCCTGAGAAATTGTTAGCAATAGACTCCCTTGTGTGCAAAGTATTTAAATGTATTTGAAAAAAAAATACCAGAAATACTATGAATCAAACATTTCCCCTAAAAGTTAAGGTTGTCTACTTAAATATGAGAAATAGGTAAAGAACAGATTTTTTATTATCCAGAAAATATATTTTTTGAGATCTGATCTTACGCCAGATTAAGACAAGATTTTAGAAAATTTTCCTCTACAACAGTTGACTGAAGTTTACAGACCTAAAACAGGTCTGAAAAGATATATAAGGTTTCAATGTTCTCAATACTAAGCCATTCCCAATGAATCATAACTTTTTTTATAAATTGTATAGCTTGTTGTGTTTGTGAAGTTTTTCAACAGAAAGTTATGATTAGACCTGTAATAAGAATTCAATCATTTTGATATATTTCCACGATTTTCCCTTTCAAATTGACATTGCATTTCATTCCAATACATTTGATTGTTAAAAAAGTAGCACCATCTGAAAATGTATTAGAGATTTTTTTTTTTTTTTAAGGGGAAAAAACCCTCAAAGTGTTGCAATCTTTATTCTGCATCTCAAAAATATTTCACAGTGCTGGTCACAATGAGACGTGCTGCTGCTGCTGGAATAACAAAGAACACCAGTCCACATTCGGACAGCTCAAATGTGAGGCATGCCTACTTCTTGAAGACTTATAAATGCAAATGTCAGAGATACATAAGGATTAGCCAGAGGATAATGTGCATTAACAGTTACTTGAGGAATTACGAGAAAGATGAGACAGTGTCTGCAGTTTTCATGCACATGGGCTACAAAGCCATGAAATCACTGGTGGAAGTGTGCCAAAAACCCAAGGAACTTGGGATCCAAACTTTGCAGCTGGGGATTACAACTAGTTTCTCTTGCACTCTGAACATGAATATATAACTTGTTTTGATCTGTTATTCACTACAGGTTAATTATATATTACTCTGAAACTCTGAATTATGGACAGCTGAAAGTAATTAAAAAGAAAACCTTAGAGTCTCTTCCATTAGCAAATAATTAGGCAGAACTAGAATGGATCAGTAAACAGTAGCACTTGATGATTTCACTTTGGGCTAATTTTAGTTTGGTTTCCTGGATCCTTTTCTACCTGACACCATGCATATAGCTTCATACCATCTAAGAGAAAGCCACTCAAATATCTACTTCCTCAGCTGTAGGGCTTTTCTCCAATTCACAATGAAGCATATCAATCCTCTTACACCATTGCTGAAGTAAGTCCTCCCATGTAGAAGGCGGCTTCCAGTCCTGGTCTTGTATTCAAGCCTTATTTCTACTGCCATCCATTTCTAAGAGACAGCATTGTGTTTGCTGGCCAGATCCCCTCCCACTTCAAGCCTTGTCAGCATACAAAGGCTCATGAAGGGAGGTGAAGGTGGACTTACTACCACATCTGCAGTGGCTACTTCAGGATTATAGCCCAAACAGAAGCCAGTCCTGCTTGAGGCAGTCAAACAACACAGAGCCTCTGCATGATAGCAATTACCTTTTTCAAAAGTTCACCCATGTAAAATGTAGATATCCAAATATCCTCTGAGAAGAGAAGGAAAAGAGGACACAAAGGTCTTTAAAGACATTCCTAAATTTCCAGGAACTTAGTACTGTATTGTGTGCTTCCCTCAAGTGCAAAACACGGGTTTTACACTCTCCAGCTCTTCAAGATTGTAAGTGCACCTTCAGCATAGACTGAAATTCTGATGAGTATGGGGTTTCTAAAGAAAAAGACCCAATAGGAAAATACACTAACCATGCAGTTATGTTATGAAAAGTGTGACAGATGAATATAATAACATGAAAAATAGCACCACAAAGGAGTTAGCACTGCTCTCAGAAATAAGATATTTATCACCAGACCAGAGACAAAGTATTGTTCCAGGCTTTTGAGAATGCTGTGGGAGGAGAGAAGGGGAAACAATAGTGAAATATAAACCTTCTGTGAAGGATAAGAAAAGGATTCCTGTGTAGCACATGACAAAATCAAAATTTTGCACCAGAAATCTTCTATCCAATTACTAGAAAATAAAAATCTGTTTAACCTCAGTCACGGAAATCAACTTTTGTCTTATGGACTGAGTCACCTTCCTTGTGCTGGTTCTGTGCCTCTATTTGCATCTTGTAAATTATATTTAGCTTTAGAAGAATGCAGAACTTTTTGCACCTGAAACCTGCAGTCACATAATGACATAACTACAAGAAGTGCCTATTTCAGGCAATGGAAGATGCACAGATGTAAGTTAGGGCAAAATATGAATCAGAGTCTCCTTGATCTGTCCTACTCCTCTGCTGTCTGCCAATGAAAATGCATGCCCACATGAACAGCTTTCTTCATACCCTGAAGGCCACAGTGCCATGTTAAAGCATTTAGGGAAGGGACTTAAATACATATAAGGCTTTCTTCTGCTTCAGATTTTCATGCTGAAGGAAGAGGTGTTTACTGCACCCCAACTCATGGGCAGTGCTGGGACTCAACTACAAAGCCAGAAGTGTACCAATCACCAGAGCCACTCCTACACAACTGAACATCACCAATATATCTGTGTGTTAATGGTACCTCTGTAGCTAAGTATGTATCACAAAACAGTGCAGAATGCATTTTCGCAGCTCTGATCTCTCCGACATGCAAGTTATTACCTTAGTTAAATAAATCATTTAAATAAATCATTGTTCCACTGCACTGAGCTTCTATGGCTATTCAAACAAAGGAACCATTCTGAATGCTTATCTAAAACCCATCCAACTAAAACATCTTTTAGTCTAACTACACTGAAGCCAGAATACAATGACATAAATTGATTCTGCTCATTATTTTCATGTGTCATTGTGACAAGCAGCCAGAGCTAAGCTCCAAAACAGGTCCGCAGAGTAATATTAAGTACTGAGACCTTCAAAGATGACAATTTTTTCTGCTAACTACAGGTGCTTGAAAACATTGACAGAACTTATAAAAAAATGAGCCAAATATTGGAAAATGTGTAGTCACATGAAACAGGAGACTATATGAAACAGCATATACCAAGAGCTAGGTATATGTGGTAGCTTTTGAATAATTTATATGATGTTCTTCCTAGCTCAGTGTCACCTACTCTTCTCCCTTTTGAGGCAGCACTTTTTTCTAGAAAAGAGAGGAACTCCTTTGAGCCCAGGAGATTTGATTTTTATTCACCTTAGTAGAGTAATGTCTCAAAGTGAACACACTCTGTATTTTCACTGATTTCAAATATGCTCTTCTCTGACAAGGTGCCTAAATAATCAAGATGTTAGCTACTTGCTATTTCTACTGTCCCTCATCCCCACAGAATGCACATAGTACAAGAAAAAAAATCTGTTCATAAGCATTTGATTGTATATTATCTAAATATTTACAGTTGGTTTTGCATGTGAGATATACAGTGCTATATGAGATAATCTATTTATCTACACTTTTTAAGATGCAGTCTTCTTGTCTTGCTGGTTGCTATACGAAATGTGTCAAAATGCAGGAAAGCAATTCATTGAAACACCAAAGTCCCTGGTATTTTTTTTCCTATTTCCTCCAAGTGTTTTTCTTAGGTTTTCTCTTAGCTCCCTCTAGAAAAGTCTGATGCCTGTATCTTTTCAAATGCTTCTTTCTTTCCTGTATTCCCACTGAAGTTTCTAGGACTAAAAGGTTGGGGAAACTGCTTTTCCTTGGCTACCAAATATAACTCCTTTCCTTACTAAAGTTAAGGGTTAACAATTTACACAGTGCTTGAGTGACAATGCCCTTTTATGTTCAGTCAGTTACAGATAAAGAACTCTGTATCTCCCCAGTACTTACCCAGCTTGTCATAAACCCAGATTACAGACCAGAACAAAAAAACCCAATCATCTAAATAAAAAAGGTAGGCAAAGACCATAACTGGGCTCATGAAAACAGATGCTGGGGACAAGGTAAATTAGCAGAGACCCTGTTTAATCTGCTCAAGTCATTTCATCTGTGACAATTAATCAAGCAGGTAAAAGTCTGCTTTGTTTTGTAGCAATTACTTCAATCTAGGTAGCAAGAGCTATTCTTAAGAAAACAACCTTGGATAAACAGGCTTAAGCATCTAAGAACATCTCTTGAGCTACATGTTTGCTGTCAAACCAAAGACTGCTCTCTTCTGAAGCAATGAGTAAACTGAAGCAATAAGTAAATAGAAGTGCAGTTGTTCTTAGAAGGGT